CTGTTAAAGGTGTTATACAAATCATCCCAATTCATTTAACCTCTGTTTACTCTGTTGTTTATTGTAAAGTGTGACACAGGGTGTGTGTGATGGGTTTCAGGCCAAAGTTTGATGGTTTTCAGTCAAAAGTCCCAGGTTGATTTTTATTCCTGCTCTGTCCCTGGAAGAGTCAGGGAATCAGAGAAGAGAGAGGGTCCTGAAAGACAGCAGGAAACAGATCGTGATTGAAAAGGCTGTGCAGTTGTGTGACTCTCAGCAGCTTTCATTAGAGACAGTATCACAGGCAGAGAACTGTTTGAAAAGACTCTCTACGTTTCCATTTAACAACAAGAGGAGAGACTTAAATCTGCAGGAGGATAGTAGTGATACGACTGCACAAAAAGGGGAAAAGACACATCACAGACCTGATGTCTATTACCACTGTGGAGATAAATACTGTTTCCCTACGATCCACAATCGACCCAACCGGTGCTTTTGGTTCACCAGAACATGAAACATTTCTTCATGTGAACGCTTTAGAGGATGTTTGTAAAAGCATCTCTGGGATGGAGTACTCCAGTCCGGATGATACCTTCCCTCTTTCTCATGAACTGTCATTTGAACCACCCTTCCATGGATATGATGCAGGAACAAGCCAATCAGAGAGAGAGAGAGAGAGAGAGAGAGGAAGATTACTGCTCTTCATCATGGACAGACTCTTTCTGAGGAAAGTATCCTGCAGGATGAGGTTATTCTTCCCAGTTGGAAGCTTGAAAAGGCTGGGGATGATGGAGGTGTTTTTTGAGGGATGTGCTGTCAGAATTTTTGACTTATGAGAAGTGATCTATGGGAAATTTCTTCAAAGTGTCATACCTACATCATGATTTTGAAAAACAAAAATAAGGGAAATGTCGGCTGAATAATCACATTTAGCTGACAAAAAGAGAAGCACCTTCCTGTACTTCTACAGCAAGCTGTTTGGGCTTCATAAAGTGTGATGTTGTGGACAGCTTTTTCAAGGGAGTGTCAGATTCGGAGCGAGTGATCTTTGAATCTTGTCGTTTAGATTTTGAAGGTGTTGACCAAGAAGAATTGTCGGAAAACGTGGATATTCGCAACCGCCGGAGGCAGCTCGCTCACCAACAACAGATCAGAGCTGAACGGGTTTGAAGCAAGTCTATGAAAGATCATCAGATCAAACTTACCCCGGTACCCAGAATGCCCAGGAGAAACAAACTGCATGTATGAATGACACCCAGCACCTCTCCTCTTTAATCAGATTTTGCACTCAGACTTGTTGACAGGAAACAGCATCACTGTTCAGGGACTCCAGAGACAAGCTGTTGCTCACATGTGGAGTTGCCCGTCAGGTATGACAACTACCCAGATTTTCAACATGAGATGAAAAAAGTTTTAGAAGGCAGCATGTGGGTAACAGACATACAGAGCCAACAGGAGACCGCCATCAGAAGTTCATGTTGAAGCTTTGAAGGTTTTCAAGATTGTTGGCTCATGAAGGAAGTCCTTACTGACCGTCACAGCTTTGACGTGCTGTCCACCTTCTTCTGATGCTTTTGTTGAACGTCATTCTCAGTTTAACAACATGTTCTTTTGAGTGGTATATTTCAGTGCAGCCCCATACATGTGACAAGTGACAAAGAGACCGCAATAGTCAAAATCCCACAGTTCAGGTTTGCAGACTCAAGGTGACAGTTCTGGTTCCAGCTTCTATTCAAAAGTTCTGTCTCATATCATTAAGAGAAAATCACTGGATTGCAGGCAGACTGACCAAACTACCCGACTCACAAAATAAGTGATGGGAGACTGTCACCTTGGGCTTTCAGAACATTTTCTGACACTTGTGAATTGAAATAAATAAATAAAAAAGTATAAACTATAAAGTTCAGTCCCTTATCATTTCCTGTCTTTTGACCCGCATCACTCCCATCCCATAGAAAATGAGGGGGTGAACTTTGCTCCATCCAGCCATCCACTAATTCATCCGCTCATCCATTCATGCATCCATCCATTCATTAATTAATTTATTATACATCCATCCATCCATTAATCCATCCATCCATCAGCAGTAATGGGATCATTTAGATCACACATGATGTCTTCAGCTTTAATTATCAGATTATTACCATGAGTGGAAAACTACACAGCAGTTAAATTAAATGTAATTAAATTAAGTATAATGATTCTTGTGAATGTAATGACTATATACTAATAGTTCATTATAAACTCTAAATTGTTTCCCAGTAAAGACAAACTATTATCAAACTAAATGTGAGCATGTCAACATTTTTAATTGCATTACTAATAGTTTTGTATTAAATTAATTAAAAGGAAGGAAAAAAGTCTTGGGAAATATCAGAAATAATCCTCTTCATCTCAGCCGGCTGGAGAGGCGTGTCTGTGTCTGTGTTTGATTGACAGCAGCTGGTGGCTACATGTCACGGACAGACAGTGTGTTGTTGAGTAATGACTGAGGCAGCTGTGATCCCATCACGTCTCATGGTTCCTTCATGACAGTGGAGGAACCAGTGTCTCATTAATTCTTCTTCCAGGTTGTGACTGAACCGACCCACAGAATCGCACACGGATCTGGATCCTGAGCTAATTATCCTCCCAGCTGCAGTGATTATTGCAGAGAGACTACAGAGCAGATCCTGCCGGGGATCAGAGGGCTTCACTTCACATTCAGCGCTGCACCACTATTATATCCAGTCTGCCAGTTCAGCTACCCAGCACACTTCACCTTGACAAGGACAGTGATTTCAGCCACTCAAACAACCACAGCTTCAGCTCACCACTCTGATGCTTCTCTTAGATCTTAATCAAGTCCATAACCACCACCACACAGACATCCGGTCAAATTGTTAGAAGCTGATAATCATGTTGGTGACTGAGAGTTTAATTAGCTTTCTTTTTGTTTTTTCTTTCGAATGGATCCCTAATATTTGATTATTATTGATATGACAATATACTGTAAACCATTATCACATTATTATCACTCATGCAAAGTTATAAGTTAATAACATATATGAAATACCCAAAGTAAAATTTGTATATGTGCATATATTAATAAATACATGTTATTTATATATATTTAATTTATATGTGTAAGTTTATTAAAGTAATATACATATAAAAATTCTGTATGTTTATCTATGTTTTTCTTAATAATTTCTCATTAATTTTAAATATGTCTCTCTTCTCATTCTTTCTTTCAAAGTCTCAGACTTTTGGACCCTACTGTAAATACATATCAACATGTTGACAGGCTTTGGGATGGATATATATTTATGTAACATATGTCTACGATATAAACATACATAAAGACACATGCATATTTGTATGGGTTAGACATAAATGTCAATATGTGAAATTGTTACAATTCAAGGTTTCATATATTATTTGTACATATAGTGTATGTTTATATATATGCACATATATACATGTTTATTTTACATGTTTTCCTGCAAATTCATTTCATGATTATTATGTGATGCACTTTAAATATTAATATATTCCATGAATCAGAATACCACCGTATCATCAGGGTCTTCTTTTGATGAGCTACCAAAGAGTTTCTCAGATACTACATGTTTTTGGCCACACACTGTGAACAAGACATGACACATCATCTCCTTTTAAGTTGTTATGGTGATGTGGTTGAACGCGCAGTTATGGAGCATCGTTATCCTTCATCTGGAGTCATGTTTCTGACCAGTGTTCCCTCTCTTTCAGTTCTTTTCTCATCTATGTTCACCAGCTGCTCGCTGACTGCGTGTCTGCTGTTCGCAGCTGAGCAGGTAGAGGATTGTGGCTTTCTAGAGCTTTTTTTTTTTCTGAAAATAGCTGCTGCTGCAGCCAAATATGACTCAATGAGAGCGGTGAACAGAACAGTGAAATTGTGGGCTGGAAAACAATGAGCCCAGTTTCACACTATGAAGCTGTGTAAAGCTGAAAGTAGCCGAAACTATAACTATATACTTCACTAATTACCATCTCTTATTAGAGAACTGGAAGATGGAAATAAGAACTTAAAAAGATTAAAAACTATGTTGTGAAAGTTTACACTTCACAAGGTTAAAATTAACTACCGTAGTTCATGTTCATATCATGTTTTGTTTTTTATTCTTTTTCAGTTGAACCTCTTCCTACCATCCATCCCAGCCTCAAATCACCGCCACTTCTCAAACCACACGAATCACCATTTGATACTATAGAGTCACAGACAGAGATCACTTTTAAACCCATTGTGAGTATATGTTTCATGTGTCTCTGCTGTGAGTCTGACGGGTAGAGGAACTTTGCGCATGTAAGTTCATGGTCTGACTCTTTCTAAATGATTTCTTTTGATCATCATTCACTTGCAGATATTTCTTATGATGCTCCAACTCGATGTGTTGTTTTAGATTTGTTGCAGTGTCGGTTTATTCAAACTCAGATTTCTTCTGTTGGAATCTGAACTGGTTTGTTCATAAAAGTCTTCAAATGTTCTTATGAACTGATTTCTATTTTTTGTTGGCAAACAGCTTATTGGTGCGATACCGCCACCTTCTGGTGTATGAGCGTTGTTAAATCTCACCAGAGTGAAGGAACGCGTTCATTGAGCGCGTTCATGCACAACACCGGTTATAAACATGTTAAAAATCTTGCCATGTTGGCGTCGCATCAGAAAACTAGTTTGCTTGTAAATTAGATTTTAGTGTCATTTTCCTAGAGCTGAATGTCACAATGACCAACTTCCTGACATCTCACATGACCATTAGTCTCAGAACAGTGTCATACTTTTCTTTATAACATGTTGGAACCTCCACCATGAAGCATTAATTGGTCCACTGGAATATTACAGAGAATTTATATGTTTCCATCTTTATCTTCACATGAAATAAAAACTATGACCAACATGAACTGGCACTGAAGACCAAGGAGGTCGACACCATTTCTGATGGAACTTCATTATTTTGTATAATTCTCTTGACAGGTGGAAGTAAACATGTCTGGCTTACCCATAGATGCAGGAGATGTCAATGACCACGTCGATCATGTCGCAGCACAGTTCGTACGTCTGCATGTCCACTGGGCTGCTGTCTGTGGCGATGTAAATCTTACTGACCACATCAAACAGGAAGGCCTTCTCAATACCCGAGTTCTGAAAACAAAGACAGAGACAAAGAAGAGAGAAACTCATTAAGTGCGAGTCATTAGTGTTACCATGACCTCGGGTGATCACTAAGAGTTTTCAATGCATGAGAATACATGCAAGGTGTGTACTATACACCACATGAAACCACTCACTCACTTTACAGACATGATCTTGGATACAGGCATGCATTAGTGAGAACAAAGCATTCCATCCATCCATCCATCCATTTTCTGCCACTTTTCTGTAGCTGGGTCAAGGTGGTTAAGCAAGGTCGTCCATATGTTCCTCTCCTCAGCAATGTTTTCCAGCTCCTCCAGGGGAATCCTGAGGCGTTCCCTGACCAGATGAGATATATAATCTCCCCAGTGCGTTCTGAGTCTACCACAGGGTCTCCTACCAGTAGGACGTGCCTTGAAGACCTCCAATGAAAGGCACCCAGGAAGATCCTTACCAGATACCTGAACCATGTCAACGGGCTCCTTTCAAAGTGAAGGAGCAGCGACTGCACCCTGACCTCCCTCTGGAAGTCAGAGCTCCTCACCCTATCTCTCAGGCTGAGCCCAGAAATCCTACAGAGGAAACTCACTGCAGCTGCTGTTCACGATCTCATTCTTTTGGTCTGTACCCAGAGTTGATGACCAATGGCGAGGGTCGCAACGAAGATCAACCGCCATCCTCTGAAACACGGATTTTTAACATGAAACTGCTTTTTACTAGTCCTAATCACCTAGTCTGTTTGTTGTGAAGAGGACACCTCTGTGGATAATTCAGCTGCTGGTAAAAACCTCCTGAACGGCCAACACTGAAACCAGCATAAGCTGACAGCAATGGTGGTGAGGACAATTCCCATGATCCCACGCTATTTCATGATGTCACTCAATGCCGTCTTTTGCTATTGTTTTGATTGAGAGACCCCTAGAGGCAGAAGTTACTGTGTGTTTAACATTTAACCTACTACTTCTACTATATGTGTAATTCAGTCCATCCCCAGAAGAACCTTTGACAAAGAAATTAAACAGACAGAAATACATTTAAACAGTTGTCTCTCGTATCTTATTAATCATATTGTTCATACCTAATATTAGAGCGTGCTCTCTGAGTGGTTTCCCGTTCCCCCAGTCATTCTAATTCATTTCAGGTACATGAGTATGGCTCTGAATCCTAAATACCAGCTTCTCTCGAGGGACGGTCTGTTCAGCTGCTTAATTCCTCCAGAGAACAACCCGTTCAAATTAAAAATAATGTCTGAAAAATGCCAGAAAGAAACTTGTGATAATGAGACAAGCATTTACCGGGACAATTAAACTGTATTATTAAGGGAAGTAATCCTAAAAACAAACACTGCCTCCACAGCGGTCTGTTGTAAATAACCCTTTATTATTCCGTCCACACTGTAGGAGACAGTTTGGGTGAAGTTCAGGTTGTTACTGCAGATAATGGATGCAGTAATAAAACAAAAATGCTGTTCACACACAGATCTTAAAAACACAGTGGAGTCAGTGGTGTCAGCAGAGATTTGGGAAATCACTGTGTGGAGGATTACATCATCATCATCATCTTCAGTAACAGTCCACTGTAGAGCTGCAGTCAGGCAATGAACAGACGACATGATTCAGTAATAATGTTTTTCAGCTTTTCTTCATGGCTCTTTATCAGCGATATGATGTTTTTAAACTTGTCAGTATGAGAGATAAGCACTCCATCATCACCACATTTAAACACTCAGCACTGCAGGAGATCTGTGTGAGGACACAACCGAGTCTGTCTGCATTATTTTCAATTCAGTGGCTCATCACAAAGACACAGTCTCTCTCTCATTTTCTAATTTATTTATCCAGGCTTATCTGTGTGTTGGGAGAATGAACAGAGGATCATAAACATACATGGTTTGCCCTGACGGACAATTTATGTTTGAACATTTTTTTGGACCTTATGTTTGGACTCTGATTTGGACAGTATTTCCTGTTTTATTTTGAAACTACTTACCTTGTGTTTCTTGTGGTTATTTTACTTCTTGTCTTTGTCCTGTTTCCTTCCTTGTAGACCCCCCCCCCCCCCCCCAATGTTTCACCTGTGTTCGATCACCCTTGCCTCCCTTGTGTCTATTTGGTCTCTGTGTTCCCCTTTCTTAGTTCTTCTGTTTCCTTTGTGTTCCTCCAGTTTTTTCTTCTGGACTTCTTCTGGTAGCCTTTATGTTTCCCCTTTATCGAGCTCCAAGGCTTACTGAGTCCTGGTTTTTGTTCCTGCCTGGATTTTTTGGATTCTTGGTTTTGTAAGTTTCTGTTTTTTTGTTATGAAACATAATTTTTCCACCTACCCCTTTTTGTTGTCTGCATTTTGGGTCTACTTTCCTTGATACCTGAAACATACATGCATGCAAACAGACCAACATGTGATGTCAGTGCATCACATGTTTTCTGAGCAGTCATCATGGTTTGCAGAGGATGAATCCTGCTCCATGTCAGCGACAGTCAGGGCTGGATCCGTTATGTTTTTGGGTTCGTCTGGCCCATTATCATGAAGGTGATGACTCAGGAACACCTTGAGGGAACTTCTTCAAATTTGGTACAAACATTCACTAGGATTTAAGGAAGTGATTAGAATTTGGTGGTTGAAGGTCAAAGGTCAAGGTTGCTGTGACGTCATAAAACACGTTTTTGGCCATAACTCGCTAATTCATACACTATGACACAATTTACCTCAAATGTCTAGGATAAACTGAAGTGACGACCTTTTATATATAAAAGTAAAAGGTCAACATCACTGTGACATAATATTTTGTAAATGCACTTATGGTCATTATTCAACACTGTAACTCAGGAATGAGAGATAATGACCATATTTCCCTTGACCGGTTGGTGGAAGGAAACAACCAATTCTAGTTCATCTAGGTTTAAAAGTTTTCAATGAAATGTTTCATATACTATTGGATGGAATGTTATGAAATGTAGTTCACCCGTTCACCTCCTCCTCAGGATAAACTGTAATATTTCTGTGACACCTCATCGTCCATCATCCGGTCAAAACTTTACGACCAAATACCTGATGAACAAGTGACGTTAGTGCATGTAGACCTTCAGAGGAGCTGTTTACTGAGGATGATGAAGATATGAGGTCATTAACATCAAACTGCAAATAAAGATGGATGTAGCCTCTGTGACGTCACCCATGGGATCCCGAAGAGCGGTTTTGAAGCTCAGAGTGTGCTGCTCCACCGTCGCCTTCTTGTCGCTGTCTGACTCCGCCCCTTACTCTCAGCTAATCCAAAAATGGTCGAAGAGGTGGGGCATGTGTGGAGCTGAGACTTCATTGCATGTTGGCTTGTGGCAAGCATGCACTCACCCACCTGTCACTCAAAGTGGCTACGCCCTCAATTCTCCATGACTTTAAGCCTTACTAAAATGTTAACAGGTGTCATGAAGGAGGAAATTAGCTCTAGAGACCAAAACAGTTTTTGTACCAGGCTGTAAACATGTTTATTTCTGCTGTGAAGTTGGACATTTTAACATGGGAGTCTATGGAGACTGACTCACTGTTGGAGCCAGACTCTAGTGGTCATTAGAGGAACTGCAGTTTTCAGCCCCGGAGGTTGATGCTTGGTCCTGGCTACATAACCAGACCGTGCTGTGTGTTTAGCCTGATCTCCATTGTACATGATGTAAATATCTTCTCAAAAAGCAGCTGCAGCAGCTGTAGACATGAGATACCTTTGTTAAAAAGCCTGTATTTTCTGTTGTTGTCTTTTTGCATGTGCTCACCCTGATGCCTGCCCTACCTTGACTGGTGAATACATTAATTCTGCAGTGGCCCTGGTCATCCCTGGGAGTAAGGAAGAAGTGGAGTCATTTTCTGCTCTCCTCTGCTTCCCCCTGGGCCGAGCACACAGACACACACTCCTCCTTTGTTGTCGGAGCTGGCTGCTTCATATCTGAGTGTGCAGGCCTCTTCCACCCACAGAGAGCAGCTTTCCTCAGCTGCTGGAGATACAATCACAGCCCAGAGATCACAGCAGAGAGAGAGCTGACACACTGAGCCATCTCCATCACTGTGGATTTCACTTCTTTATTTAAACGATTCCAATAACGACTGCATAACTTATAGTTTTTGACTTTATGTAATAGTAATGTTTATTTTTCATTTTTACAATATTTAGTGTAAAAGAGAGATTCAGGTGAATCCTGTCAGCTCAGGTTTCTTACCGTCTGAAGCCCTCAGGAGAGTATACACTCCCAAACGTCACGTTGTCTTTAGAGCATCGTACTGGGTTCACATACTTTTTTGTTTGTACTTATTTTGCTGTCATTCTATCATGTTAATAACATTTCACCTGTTGCCTCACTGCACTGGGTAAATGGCTAAATGTTCACCATAGTTAAAGGTTTAATGCATTAAATAAATGTATGGTTTTATGTTGTGTTAACCTTTATAACTATCTGTGGAGTCATAGATCATTTATATTGGTATTAAGCGCCACTGTCAGACTGAAGACTGAAGCCCGGTGAATAAATGAAGTGAACTGTGAACAGATGCAGCTGGAGCACCCCGGCATTTAAGTTCATTTACATGGAGGTGACACTGAACATGAACCAACAGACTCTTCAGGTTAGATGGAGCAGTAAACACTGACAAGCATAAATAAATATTACATTACTGAGTAAATTGTAGACACTGACATTGTAAACATTAAAGCTGCAATAAGCGTTATGCAGGGCCTCGCCCTGTTGCTCACCTCAGGGCTGCAGCCAAGAGGCCCCTTAACGTAGGCAACATGTACTACGTCCCTGTATACCAAGTGTAAACAAGGCAATGAAAATTTCATGTAAATCAAAGGGTTACTTCCTGTTTTCAGCAGGTGGCGCTATGACTATGACTTCATATTACTGTGCTGATGTCTTCGGTATGGGTCATAAAACTCATGAAGTTTGGGGCAGATTGATCAATGTACACGTGAGTTACAACAACTTCCTGTTTCATGGTGAAACATTGAAATTAGCCATGCTGCCACAGTCACACCATCCAACAAAAAGTTATAGTTTTCTCTTTGAGGCATCATCAAGGTCTTACACATTTTCTTACCAAGTTTGAAGTGGGTGTGGCCAGCCTGCTAGGAGGAGGACATCAAATGATAAAATATGAAATTCTTTAACTCAGAAAAATGGCACCAAAAATGCAGAGTAAATTCAAAATGGCTGACTTCCTTCTCAGTTTAAGATGTGAATACAAGAGGCTTTTTTGTGAGCCTTGGCATGTGCAAGATCTATAAAATATGTAAATTTTCGCCAGGCCTGATGCCTGTGCAAAGTTTCATGACTTTTCGAGCATGGTAAGGCCTTAAAAAGGCCATGCATTTGTCAGAATAATAATAATAAGAAACACGAGCTTCAATTGGTTCCTTGGCCCTTAATAAATGTGTCTCTATTGGGTGTTTGGTAAAAGCTAGTTCATAGGCTTTTTCTCATTAATGAGTGTTTAAATATATATATATATACATATATATATATATATATATATATATATATATATACTGTATGTATATGATATCAGTAACATGCATTGTAGTCGCATTTCATCCGATGTGCATTCATGCCGTTCAACCACTGTATTTGTTATCTATCACTACCATCTAGTGACTCAATTGTAAAGTACAGGAGGACATGCACATGAAACACACAGTGGAGGACATGGTGTCCACAGAATCCAGTTCATTCAGTAGCACAGTTTGGTTTACAGTAGTCAGGGCAGGTGGATTCTGTGCTGTGGTGTCAGCAGCAGGATTTACTCACTGATATGAAGATGTTGAGCAGGTTCTCCAGCGTGGGCAGCTGAGGGATGAGCTTCTGGACCACTTTACTGAAGGCCTCGAAGATGGAGTGGTCGTATATACTGGTCAGATAGAAGCTGTTAAAAGAAACATAATGAGTATGTTTAGTTACTTTGTTTTGTTTAATGTTAGCAAAGATACAGATACAAATACCTTCAGTACAGACACCAATACAAAACTATCTGTGAATTAGAAGAATACTGACATTTTCTTCTACAATCTTCTTATTGTTTAAAAAGTCAAACTTCCCAAATCTTTAATACAGTCTAAGTCAGTGGTTCCCAACCTGTGGACTGGGGGCCCACTATCACTGTGATAAACCAATAACAGGAACTTTTATGTTGTCCTTATTTCATTCATCTAACCAAAAGCACATTCAACAAATCCAGAGACTTCAGGACCAGGGAACAGGAGGAGCTAACATGCTACTAATTTCTGGGTTTAAGACAGAAGAACTCTATGACTTTTATTCAGTGGCACAGGTCTAGTGGGAGGTTTGGTATCAGACTGGATACAATGTTCCATTTGTAATTTTTTACACTGTGAAAATACTAATGAACAGGCTTTGAATAAAAAAGACTAAGTCAGATAAATGTTGTCACATTTATAAATTATAATGTCTGAAAACTTAGTTGATTCCATTGAATTCCTGTGCGTTGATGTTTTACAGATTCATATAGGATTCTCTGCTCTTCTACTATTTTGATGTCTGCTCTAGTGTTTTTATTTACTTGTCTGTGTGGTGATTTATATGATAATTTGCTCTGAATGATTCATGAGATTCATATTTACATTTGATTGAATTTTTGATGCATCAGATTGAATACATTCTAGTATAATGTATTTAAATGTGTTTTTCTGGGTGGTCCAGCTCTGCTCTGACTGGTCCAGTCTGACTCTTCATGCAGGTCACAACCACCTGAGTGATGAATGTGTTTGTGTCTATATTTTGCTTGTTCTTGGAGCGCTCTGTTCGAGCATAACTGCTCTGTGAGGATAAATCTGCTGCTCATTGCAGTATGCAGATGATATGATCATTTTGAAACGTACCTATATCACAGTGTCTATTTATTCCAGACATATTGTGAAACTTAAAAACCGTCTGCAGCTGCAGGTGAAGCTGACCTCAGGTGGATTCGTTCCAGGCCTGCGTCTGCGAGGTCGTCGCTGGCTCGTTTTTGAATGTCCCTCTGCTTCTCGATCTTGTGGTCGTCCGACAGGCCGTCCACTTTGTGAATGAACACCTCGAAGTTGATGTCTGGGTTGACTTTGTAGGCCCTTGTCACAGTGAGGTGCAGCCTGCTCAGAGCCTCCACGTAGTCATCCTGTCAGGAGGCGAAGAGGAGATTCACACAGCTGAGGAAGCAGACGTTAGACCACCAAGGTTCTGGATCTTTCTACATTAAACCAGTGAGTTTAGCAGTGAAGATTAAAGAGTCTGAGTAATGTTGTTTTATGAACGTTATCAAAGATTTTGTGTAGTAGTGTACAGTATGTGTTGTTACAGCTGCAGCCGCCCCCCACCCTCCACCTTCTTCAATGTCTGAGTCCTGATTGGAGTGGCACTTGGTTCAGCCCGCCAATCCACCCGATGCAATTTGGCACCAAGAGTGCAAAAGCCTGGCAAGCCTGTCATTCAGAAGGGCTAATACCCACCGCTCACCAGCATTCCTCCTGTAGTTGTTGAACTTTTTCTTTGTGTTTTAATATTGAGGTACTTGTTGGACTATCTGGGGACTGGGCCACAAGTGACTACAAACACATAGAAAACTATTGATTTAGAGCCACCAGGAACATGGATATTTGGCTGTTTTTTGCTTCTTTTTTTTTTTTTTGTTTGAAATCAGGACAGGGGGGGAACCTGATGGGGGCAAATGGTTAGGGCCCATACCACATAAGCGCAAATGCTCTAAAATAGGCGAGACCCCAGTTTGACTCCTGACTGGACTTTTTGCTGCATGTCATTCTCTCTGGACTTTTTGCTGCATGTCATTCTCTCTGTCCTATTTCCTGCCACTCTACACTGTTCTGTCTAATAAAGACATAAAAAGCCCATAAAAATAACTAATAAATAATTTAAAAAATCACGAGGGAGTAGTCAGAGGGGTTTTGTTTTCCTTTAGACAGCTGGTTGAAACTCTTTGAGTCCTCTTTTGGTTATACTGTACTTGGTTCTGTTTGCCCTGTTTCCCATTTCAGTTTAACTCATTTATTGTTTTTAGCTGGACCACAGCAGCAAGGTCATTACCCCATAATCTGGAATGTCTCTGACTGACTGACAGTTAAAGACCTTTTTTTTCAACCAGACTGGGTATAAACCTGGTTCAGGTCTGGACCATGTATGGACGCTAACCCGGGGCTTAGGGCTACACTTCTTGTTTCGACCAGTCTACCGAGTCACCCTAGTTTCCCAGCTGCTCAGGAACTGCAGGGAAGAGGAGAAGCACTTCCAGTACACTGAGCCTCACCTCCATTACAGCAAATAAACTACTTTGATTACATGTATCATCATTACTAAAGGAGGCAGAGGAAGAACTAAACATAAGACACACCAAGCAGAGAGAGCAGGAGAGAGGGAGGGAGAGAGAGAAGTCATCGGTAACGAGGCTTCGTACTAACGACTATGACCAACTCTACATATCAAACAGAGGGAGTCAGACATAAAGACCTGCCTCTAATAAAAGTCTGTTACGTTCTGGAGTTGAAGTAAATAAAGAATAAAAGTGTGAGAGACTAATTAAGAAAGACAGTCTGTCCCCTCTAACTTTCTCATTTTACAGAAAAATACATCTGATAACAGCTCAGTCTTTGTCTTTAACTGATGTATTTGGTGATATTGTAAGATGAAGGTGGAATTATAAAATCAGTACTTGACTGGAGGCAGTCTAGGCATATACTAGGATTAGACCTGGTCTTGTTTATCCACTTCCCCAGTCTCCTTATAAATAAATTATTTTACTTTACCAACTACATCTGGTTTCATCTTGCTTCCCTTTTCCCAAAACGAGCAGGTAACAATGTCTGCTGAAAAGTAACAGGAAATGTCAATACACAAATGTGACCGATATGTTTGGGGTCAGGTAGAAACAGTGTCTCCATGACAACATAAGTCCATCAGAGAGCACAGACTTAAGAAACAAGGAAACTTATAGTGAAAACTATTATTGATTACCAGTGTTTTGGGAAATATGCTTATCTGCTTTGATGCTGAGGGTTTGATGAGAGGATGAATTTATTCAGACTGAGAGTGTCTGAATGTTGTTGAACAAATCAATGAATGAGGTTAAATTGGCACCAGTGGCTACAGAAGCTTATAAGTTCAGGGGTTCTAACCAGTCAGGAACCAGAACCAATATAAGTCCAGTCCTCTATACCCCCCCCCATCCGCCATCTGTACCCTGAAGCGCTGATTCATTACTGTCACCTCCTCAGGATCATGATAAATCCTCCAGGACTCCATAGCTCTGTGGTCTGACCTGTGAGTCGATGACAAAGATCAGCGCTCCGGTTCCTCTGAAGATCATCTCGTAGTCGAAGGTGGGATCGAAGAAGTCGATCTGTCCGGGGAAGTCCCAGATCTGGAAGCTGACGAAAGAGCTGCTGGAGACGTCCTCCCTGCAGATCTTGTTGGTGCTCTCCAGGAACAGGGTCTCATTGGGGGACATCTTGTGAAAAACCACCTTCTGGATGGAGGACTTTCCACTCCTCCGTAGGCCCATCAACAGTATACGAGGTTTGACCTCTCCACTCAGTGAATCACTGAAGCCCAGCACTACACAGCAGGGACAGAAACACCGGGAATCAGGTGGGTAAAGCTACATTAGGAAAAAACTACGACCGCACACTTGCAGGTTTACAGGCTGTTTGTAGAAGGCCTCAGTTTACTGCTTAGCAGAGGAGGTAGTGTTGCCTTAAACATCATCATGATATGGCAGAGTAATGTTGTGGTAATGATATTCAATCGTAAAATACTGACAAATACTTGTTCGGTCGTCCTCTTCTGCTGTTTACACTGATCACATATCTCATTGTTGTAAATCTGACCTTTTATAGAAGAACCACTTTCAACCATGTCTGACCTCTCTACATCTACTTCTTGACCTGTTTGCAGTGGATCTGCTGGTATTGTCATATATCACCCCCAAAACTCAGTCTATCACAACTAACAAATTTAAAACAGACAAACTGCAAGCTGTTTATGTCACCTTATAAAAATTCAAGGTTTGAAGTGTCTCTGTAACAAAAAACACTGATGGTCAAAATCAAATGTAACTTAGCTTAGCATTTGTAGCCTTTGGACAAAACATTAGGTGTGTTTACATTAACCTGTTTAATGCACAAGTTGAAATTTTCAACTTAACAGTAATGGAAACAGGTGAATTTAAAAAAAAACTCTCAAATGTTGCAAAAACCATATCACACAAGAAACAAACTAGAATTACCGCCTCGCAGTTGTATGCCTCCATCAACCAGCCAAGTGTCAGGAAATATGGTTACATTAGAATGGCCAGAAGTGTTTTTGCAGAACATTATGATGTCATGAAGTTGACCTTTGATCACTTAGATATGAAAGGTCATCACTTAATTTTATCCTTATAGACATTTGAGTTCAATTGTTTCATACTTAGTGAATGAATTCACGACTTATGATCAAAAACATGTTTTGTGAGGTCACAATGAGACAGAAGTGATGAAATTCCCTCTGGGCAATCCTGATATATTGCATTCACAAGAACATGAGATCACTATGACCTTGACGTTTGACCTTTGACCAACAAAATCTAATCAGTTCATCTTTTAATCCAAGTGAATGTTTGGCCATATCTAAATAAAATTTCCTCAAGGTGATCTTGAGATTACACATTCAAAAGGCCAAAACCCTGTTTTGTGAAGTCACTGTGACTTTGACATTTCACCACCAAAATCCAGTTCATCTTTGAATCCAAATGAATGTTGGTGCCAAAAGAAGTCAAGGCGATACTGAGATATTGTGTCCACTAAAATGGGAAGGATGGACATACAGACAACCCAAAAGCAATATGCCTCCAGCTCTGTTCTGTCGCGGGTCAAGAGGCATAAAAAAACCAGCTCGATTCATATAACATCACTCAATAGAAACACAGAACATTCACTATCGTGTTATATCGCCTTTTTTAAAAAAATATCTTCTTTATTGCGCATAACTGTGATGGAAACCTGACTATTGTCCTTTATCGGAAAAACACCAGCTGTTAATCCCTGACTGAAGAGCCTCTTAAGTTGCTGGTATGGAGGACTGAAACTCAAAATCAAAATAAATAAATGACTCAACAAATAAATGGAGGCTGGAGGATGGAGGATGGCTGTACACTGTGAGTGTCCTATTGTTCCTGCAGCTGCAGAATCCATGTCTTAAAACTATGCTCAATCACAAGTGTAACTAAACATACAGTCAATAGTAGCATCCTTCCAACCAGCTGACCCACAGGAATCTGTTTTAATGTGAGGCTGCCATCAGCTGGTCACAACTCTGCCCATGGTCCCACCCCCAACACTGTGATTGGACAGTTACTTGTTTTTCATGTTGGCATTAATGATGTGTCTTCCTCTTAAGAAGAAAAGGCTCCTCATGAAAACTAATGGACAGAGCTCTGTATTTAATGTTGGCAGGTCTATGATGTCCTCTGCTGGACAACACTGAAATATAACACACCTGTTCACCTCTTCACTTTGTTTTGTGTGTGTGACTTTATTTTATTGTGTCATGGAAAATTAATGTCACAATGAAAAACAATTCATTTAGTGTTAAAAACAAAACACAAAATAATAATAATAATTTAATTAAATATATGATGTCCATTTAGTGATGACAGTAAATGCCAACATAAGAAGCAAATAAAAATACCAATGTGTGTTTTTTTCTGTCTGAAGGAAAATGTGCATCAGACAAGCAATTATGTTTTAACATGTCACCGACTGACATGAGCCCCCCACCCCCCACCCTCCCCCCTTGTCTTTGACTGCACCTTCATCACACTTGACTGGGAACTTGAATGAAAACGCCTTCAGACAAGCTTCTTCCCAGAAAATCACACGGCTGAGAGCATAAGTGGAGCCTCCTCTAAGACTGGGGTTCAGATAAGAAACACTGTCACCACTAGCTACACACTGCAGCTGTGATAATGAGGCCATGGCTCAGTTGTTTTGGGCATAATCTTAAATTTGCTCTTAAAAATGTGCTGACAGAACACAAGCAAAACACTGAGATGGCAGTGTGTCAGTGCATTACAGTCTGTATCTCTCCCACGGCTGTAAAACAAGCAGCAAGAACTGTTACTACCAGAACACAGTCTCATAATAACAAGTAACAAGACTAGGTCTAAACCTTGTACATGTCTGGACCTCTGGTCAAATCCTGATTTTATAAATCCTGTGACGTCGTCTGACAAAATCACCAAACAAGTAAATGAAAGACAAAGACTGAGCTGCGATTTCAGCTGGATTTACTGTAACATGATCACTCACAGAGAAAGTTAGAGGAGAGTTATTTTTTCAGGCGCTTGCCTTTATTACAGTCATAGTGGGAGAGTGAGATAGATAAAGAGAGAGAAGAGAGAGAGGATGACACGCAGCATAGGGCCACAGGCTGGACTCGAGCCCAGACCGTCGTGGCAAGGACTAAGACCAAATGGAATGGTTTGTAAAATAAATATATTAGGCCTATTATTTACATTAGATTGTGGATTACTGTTATTGTTATTATTGCTGCTATTATTATGCTTAGATTTAACTCAAAGACACATAGGAATACTCCTCCTGTTAGAGAAGAAGGTCCGTTCAGTTGTTGTTGGACCAACTGTATTTCTAGTGCTGGTATGAACTACATCCATCTCATCACTAATCAGTTTGGCCGATTAATCTGCATCAGAATCAGCAGAACTTTGGCCCACGGCTGTGCTGCCTCCACCAGTCACACAGGGACGTACATCACAGTTCAGATGGAGGCTCTATCCACCAAATCAAGGTAATTGTGCACCTGAGATACTATATACATTATTGGCTGGATTGCAACAGCGAGGCCAGGCCTGTAATCGTGAATGTCCATGACTGACTGACTGACTGAGTGATCATAGTTCCACCATTGGTCAGTGAAATGCTCTCAGGGGGCATTCACAGTCTGCATTGTTGCCAACACCTTTAGAGACTTGCAACAAATCTAGTTACTTTTTGTACGGTTGCTCTGAGAGGTCAACACACTGTTACTTAAGAAAACACATACAAACAGACAAAACACAAACAACTTCAGAAAACATCATCGATTTGAGTCAGGGAAAGAGCGAGAGGGGATGACATGCAGCAAAGGGCCACGGGTTGGACTCGAACCCATTGCCGCTGCAGTAAGGACTATGCCTTCATAATAGGAGAGCACCAGGTGAGCACCCCCACATCACTTTCTAGTGTCCCCCTGGAAACACTTCTGTTGTGTTGTGAGTCTTTGCAGCTCATGTGTTGTCAAACTGATGAAGATGTTTTCTGAATTTGTTTGTTTTTTTTTGTCTGTTTGCATGTGTTTTCTTAAGCTGCAGTGCTTTGAGCTCTCAGGGCCACCGTATTCTTGGGCAAACCATGGCAACATAGAAGAGAGTGATGATGTCAGTTGTTTATAGCGCTTCCGCAACAGTTTTCAACCACAGCCTCAATTTCACACGTTGACAACACATGTTCCAGGCAGATACCAAGTTTTGACCTAGTCTTTAGTTTCAGTTGTTTGGCATAAAACGAAGCTGTACACGCATTGTTCAGTTATTTTTCACAAAGTACTAGGTAATTAAAATACAGTGGAGCCGAATAAATGGCATTATCAGGAATAATTTACCAAATAATTTCAGTAAAGCCTCTATTAGGTTATAATGACTGAAGTACAATGAGACTTTCTGAACTTAAATGTTTTTTTATGCTGAATAGCCATCTTCGGAGAAATCTACATTTTCTTCTCACTTCCTTGACCTTCCTACACTGTACCGTGCAGCAGCTGTTGTTCTTTACAGCTTGTGAGTGGTATCACACCCTGCAGTGATCAGGTTAGTCAGCTGCTGGTGGACACCAGCTTTGACACGGACACAAGACATACAGCCTCGCTGTATGTAGCATTTCTGTATGTAGCATTTGCTCCGCACCATATGTGAGGCAGCTGCTCCCGGTCACAGCTTGAATATGAACAAGTCATCATACAGAATAAAGACTCTTCCTAGTCTGACTGCTTACACCTTCATGCCCAGGCAATGGTTTAATAAACGAGGAAATGAAAAAAAAAAGTAAATGTGGCAATACACTATAAAATAAATAAATTATTGATTTGCACATTTATTTATTTATTCTTATTTGGCTGAATTGAAATGAATTTATCTATTTACCTTGAATAATCACAGTTATTTATTTATTTCCCGTGTTCCCTTTGGGCCCCCACATGCCCTACTTGCTGGGGTTCCAGATGACAAATGACAGTTTGGATTATCCATTCATCCATCCATCGAGCGATTTGCCATTGATTACAGGTCATCAATCTCCATGACCTGGTACGACCTTGATGTTTTTACTGCAGTGACTGAGGTACTGAGGAAATCAGCTGTCAGGTGATGCACATGTTACTGGCTCCAGGTGCCGCTAACACCTGATCTTAAGTCTGGGACACTGGCTAGGATGGATGTCAAATAAGTGAATGGCCCAGTGCAACTTCAGCTGATCTGTGAATGCTGAAAAAGTGATAGAAAAGTGGACCAGACAAAAAGAGAGATAAAGATTAGGGATGTCCCGATCAAGTTTTTTTTGCCCTCAATCCCTGAGTCATTTAATATTGAGTATCTGCCGATCTGATACTTCTATTTTCCTCAGTGCACACTTCAAATACATTCAAATTATTAAAATCAATCTAATGTATATGCTTGACAGCTGAATAGCTCTGCACTGCATTAAGAAAAAAAAATCCTACATCCAAGCTTTTCCGTAATGTTTTTTCTTTAATGTTTTTTTTTGTTTGTTTGTTTTTAACAAAATGACAAAGTAAACAAACTAAAAATATTTGACATGGCTCTTATCACGGTTCCACTTAGTGCAGTTAACAAAATAATGTACCACAGAGATGGAGTGGTCATCCAAATCTTTCTGGCCTCCTGCTGTCTCGAGGAACTTTCTCTCCCCATCCCAAAGTATCCTCCAGTGTGTGTGTGTGTGTGTGTGTGTGTGTGTGTTGCCTCGGTGCAGCCTCTGCCTGAGTCACCCGAGTGAACTTACTGCACTCACTCATTCCGTTGAGTGTTTTGTTTAGTATTGAACGCATCTATTACTACTGCCTCACAAAATGCTTGCATTGCAGACATTGCAAGTGTCTGTTGGACTGCATTTGCTTTCCATTTTAAAATATTTCTACACTGCAGACATTTTAGCCGAGTCCTGCCACATATTGTGCTCTGTTCATGACACCTGTATGACAGCTGACGTGGAAAAAAAGGATTGGGTTCGTGCCAAATAAAGCTGATACCCATCAGTTGAAAAATACCTTGATTTGACCCTGATAACATTGATCAGGACATCCCTAATATCACATATCGCGATGTTTGGCCTGGACATATTGCCAAAGCCTGTTGTCAGTTGCTTATTTTTAATGTCATTTATAAATTAAAAATAAAAACAATCCTTTTTTTTCCTTTTACATTGTTGTTACTGTTACACTAGGCCACCAGCGTACTCAGTATTTTAATGTACTTCCAAGTTCTTGTTCAAAATATGTAAATTACAAAAAATGAGCTTCCAGGAGTTTACCTCACAAAAGTAAAATGGATGAAACCTAATCCAAAATCTATAAATAACACTCAGATGGATATTTAATGCACCAAATGTATAAAACCCCAACCATTAAATGTAAAATAATAATTTAATATAATAATAAGCTAATAATAATAATGAACTGTCTAGTTTAAACACAAACGTCATAGGCAGGTATAACTGGTCCTACTTTTACCTCATGTTACAGTACTTACACTTATGTCACACTTGTCTCCCAACATGGAAGGAGACTCGGACAGATATAGTGTCGTTATGTAAAACTGTGCAGCCTAACTTTTTAAAATGACGCACATGAAGTTCCCAGCGGACCCACAGACCGTGAACATAACAGAGAAGGCAGAGCAGCCTGACCGAGTGTTAACCACGGGCAGACCAGCCACACTCCAGGACCAGGTCGCCGCACTGAGACACTTCAACCGAGAACAAACCAGAGACCGAGGTGACAGTGTACCGCCGCTGTGTGACCTTCCTCCGCCTACCTCCGTCCTCACAGCCCAGCTCTCCGTCTGAAAACGCGTCCAGGTCGTCTTCGTCGTCGTAATATCCCAGAGCCGAGTCCTCCACCTCGTCGCCGCCGCTCAGAGCCGAGACTCTCTCGGTCGTCATGCTGGTTTCTTCTCCTGTCGCCCTGTCTCTGGTTTGGATTTAAACCGCCTGTGGTGTCCAACTTTTCCAGACTGCGACCTGATACGTGAGAGCCATGCTGGTGAACTTTCACCCCCCCCCCCCCCCCCGCCTTCAGTCCTGCACACTGCAGCCACAGGGGGCAGGATCCGGGTTAGGGCTGTGATGCTGGTGGGTGTCACGAGAAAACTGACCTCAAGACAACAGGGCGAGCTTTTAAATAGTTTGTTGCCAATAATAATAATAATAATAATAATAATAACAGTAATAGTAATAATAATAATAATAATAATAATAATAATAATAACAACAGTCTGAATGGATCTATAGTCTTTTCCTATGGTAACTAACTATAATATCATGTTTTTGTTAAATTTTCTTTCATTAATTTAGGTGAACAACAGAAAGCTGAATCACAGAGCCCATTAAATAAAATACAGTGATTAAAAACATTGGTGGACTAAAAGATTAATTCCCTATCAACACAGTATTAATTAATACTGTGAATTCATGTGTTAAGTAGCCTACCACACTGGGGCAAAGCTCCGGATTTCAGCTTCCAGCTGTCTGCACCCAGGATGCCACTGTACCACCTTAACTGGTGCATTTGTTTATTACCTTACAAATGTTCCTGGTTGAAGCTTGTGCTTGTCCGGGACTCGAGACGCTGAGAACATGTGGTCCAGGTGCTGCTGGATCAGTAGTAACAGATTCTGGTCCTCCTTCAAACACACCACTCTGACACTGTGTTCACTGTGTTCACTGTGCAACCGCCCCATAGACCTCTAACATGTGAACATGTGGCCTGTCAGGCAAAACCAAAAATCATAACCACATATGTACTTAATAATGAGTTAATAGTAATGTGCCTCACCAAGTCCACCAATCATTAGCTATTGAGCCATTTAAAAAGGATGATCATTTCCAGTCCATAAATTGCTCTTACCACAGCTACCAGCAGGTGGAGGCAGACGGCACGGATTAGTGTGGATCTGTTATATTCATTCAGTAAACTGCAGTGTTACAATCCTTAATGTAGCTTACTTGTTTTACATATTGTCTGCAGTCTGTGGATGACTTACTTTTATTGTATTTTAAAAGCTTGTTATGCTTTACATTGTGTAAAATTGTCATATTAAAACTAATAAGTAAAGCTGTCCAATAAATGTAGTGGAGAAAAAAATTTCAATCTTTCCCTTTGAAATGTAGGACTGGAAGTATGAAGTAGCAGAAAATGAAAGTGAAGTACAACTAGGCAACCTCAAAATTGTACTTAATTACATAGTACTTAGAGTAAATGTACTGAATTACTTTAAACCACTGCTAATACAATTACTGAACCTTCAGCACATATGGTTTTTAATATTGTTCAGTGACCCAACAGCTAAAACTATAAAGGCTAATATTATAACTTAAGGCTAAATTATAAACTAGCTAACATTAGCGTTAATCTGTAGATACTTGACACAATCTAATTCAGAAATGGTCACAAAGTAAAGTGGATTAAACATGCTAGATAGTTAGCTACTGCTACTTACATTTACCTACAGTGCAATCAGCTGCTTAATGAAACAGATTTATCCTGGTTTGGTTTGTCGGGCTCATTTAAGACAAACCTTTGACAACTTCTCTGAGCCTCCATGGTGACACAGCCTGAAAGATAACAGTGGATTCATTTTGGTCTAGACCAAATAAGCCAAGCTACAGTGGTGAATGTCACACATCACCCATATGTAGTTTACATCTAAGTGGATGTGAATATTATAGGTTATGAACATGACAAGAAAAAGTTAATCTCAGGCAAACCTGAATAAGTGAATAACATGTCCGCTTGTCATGTAATAAAGCCTCTGAAGATCTCTGAGGTCCAACCGGTGGATTCTCATGTATGATGAGAACTACACAGCATGTAAACCAGCTGTCAATACATTATGACCTGACTTGAATTTCAATTTAGCTCTAGATTTTTTTTTCTCTTTATCCTGTTCTGTATCACGTGCAACAAAAGCTTAGATTAAAATGACAACAAGGGCTCGTCAGAGATTTCATCCATGTGTCCTGATCCTAATCCTCAAGGGATGCATTTCAGAAAGATTCACCAAAGACATGTAGGCCTGTGTGTATGTGTATGTGTGTGTGTGTGTGTGTGTGTGTGTGTGTGTGAGCGTAATTGAGATTCATAGCACACTGTTCCGCACACAAGCCAGAAGTCAGCTGTCACTGACCCTGTTGTAAATCAGATCACAGATGAACTGGTCATAAACCTCTTTACATGACATTGAGCATGTACAGATGGAGGGTTTCAGGTGTTAGTGTAGATGTATGTTCTCTCTCTCTCTCTCTCTCTCTCTCTCCTCTCTCTCTCTCTCTCTCTCTTTAAGCTGTAGTGCACAGCAAACAGCTGGCATCCTCTCTGCACATGTTCACACACTGAGTAGCTCGCCTGCTGTTGATGCAGCAGCAGCAGCAGCAGCATCATCCTCTTACACAACACGACACAGACACGTCCAGTGACTCTTTGAACGGCTTGTTTGTTTGGATTTTACATGGATGCTCCTTTTTGCTCCGACAGAGAATAAGAGACATCTGCAGGCTGCGTGGAGGGAAAGGTAAAACGTACAGCACAACTCTGCTTTTCTGTGAGAATCTATACCTGAACAAACTAAACCTTTAACTGAAGCTGGCCTGATGTGGGAATACCTATAATCACATTGAGAAGATATTTTAACTGTAGAAAACACACGCTTCTCTGAACACATTGTTATACATATGTAGGCACTTGTTACATCATGTAATTAGACATTGCTAATTTCACAATTTTGCTCCTTGCTTCTATAATGACAACTTCACTCAAGGTGTGTTTATATTATTTGTGCTCTGAAAGATGGAAAAGGTGCAAAAATTAGGAGCAGGATCCGATCTTATAAATCTATACATTTCTCTATATCTTATCAATTTTATAGAGGGAATGGAATGATTTAAAATATTCATTTATTTATGGTTTTTATTTTTATTTTTATTTACTAGGAAATACATTTATTGGAAAGAAGTAGTTTGGTAAAAAATTAAAAGGAAATAAAAGTTTCCATGAGAGAAATTTCACATTTCTGCATTTTCAACAAACCTGTTGAGTAAATGGCTCGCTATGGCACCGTGGAAGCCTATAGGAGACTATATTCAACTGATAATGTAAACTTGAAAATGAAAATGTAAGTTACACAGAAATTAACTGGAATTAAATAGCTGCAAATGCTGAACTGAAAACCAGTCCATCATTCTTTTGGGGAAACTTCTCAGAAAACTTCCTGGATCAATCATTTTAAAGAACAGTGAGCATGAAACAACACAGCTCGTTCTCTGAAGGGGCCAGAACACCAGAAAACACCGAATATCATACAGTGTACAGTATAAAGTGTAATTACAAATATATGGACCAAACCTCCCATCACATCGGATTAGAATGTGTATTCATACAGAAAATACCTGTATGTGCTACTGATGGGATCAGTGAACAGAACAGAATAAGAGTGAGCGATAAGCCTAGTAGTTTCAGTGTTGTATGTACACATGCTTTAGGTTCAAGACTGTTTGTAAATCACCAACAAAGATTAAGATTAATGACACATAATCTGACGAGCAGCTCTGCAGCACTGACATGAAATCCTTTGGAATTTGGGTCAGATGTGTAACAGTAAAGGAGCAGGAGAGTCAGCGTGAGAAGGCAGGTCAGACAACACTGGAAATTTACAGCTTGAATTTCATCTGCTTGACTAAAAAAACAAAACACAGAATTAAAACAACTACACAGGGACTTTTCACATCATGGGAAAAATGTTACAAATGTCTTCATCTCTACTTAATGACCATCTGATGAACAAGGCGGAGCAGCCACTAGATGTGGCCTAGTCGCCAGTCTCGGAGAACATGTTGGTAACCAGCTGCTTATTTAGACATCCAGCAGACACACAGCAACATTATCATTCAGTTATATTTGTGTCCAGTATTCCCTCTCTTTTAGCTCTGTGTTTGGTCTCCACCAGTTCCTGACAAACACATCTGGCTCGTTAGCTGCTAAATGTTCCATTATGTTCACCAGCTGCTCTCTCTGACTGGGTTTATTGGACCTGCCTGCTGCTGCTGCTGCTGGTTGATGAAGAGCACTGAGACTGAACTAGAACAGTGAAGATTCAAGCTGTGAAACCAAAATAAAAGCTGAAAAGAGCTAACACACTATGTAGAGCTGAGGGGAGCTAAAGAGTCTTTGTCACTACAAGTGGCAAATTTTACATAAGACTAGTAATGTGATCCATTTTTAGTATAAAGATATTACAAATAAAATGATTACAGATACGACTTTAGGTTTTTTGCCTTCAAACTGGTCTTTGGCCTTTATTTAAATTTTGGCAGTAATTATTATAATAATTAATAATGAAATATTAAAATAAAAATTGGATGGGATAAATAATCAATCATCTCAGGCTTTGCAGGAATATTATGTAAAATATCAGTGTTATTTTTGTTATTCAAATAAAATGATCTATTGCTTTATTGTAGCCCTACATAAATGTACATAGTGGTATATTTGTTTTTAAGTATCTGTTTATGCATGCACACATATACAGATGTGTATGAATGTGTGTGTGCCAGCAGCGATGAACGAACAGGAGCTGGTCCACGTCCCTACCCCATCATGCCCGGGCCCAGGGCACCAGACGGCCCTGCACCGAGCTGCCATGGTGGGGAACAGTGACGCCATGTCTGCTCTGATTCAGGGAGGCTGTGCTGTCGACCTGCAGGACAGAGTGAGTGGTGTCGAAACTCATTCACACAGAATCCTCTAATGCATTCACGAGTTGTGTGGTTCACAGAATGTTAATAGTTAGTAATGGGAGTGTTTGGTATCTGTTTGAGGACGGCAACACAGCGCTGCACGAGGTGTCTTGGCATGGTTTCTCTCAGTGTGTCAAACTGCTGGTGAAGGCAGGAGCTGATGTGCACATCGGGAACAAGGTAGGATAGTAATAATCATCGTATACTTTATATGTGGCAATATAAAAATTTACCAAGGGTGGAGGAGGGGCAGCCCACAGGCCAGGCAGACGGGCAGGAGGGTGTCAGCGAGGGCAGGGATGAAGGCAGGGTCTCACTGAAGGCAGAGCAGGAGGAGGTCAATGACGAGGAGGCCAGGAGATAAAAGACGGGATCCCTCTGGAGGCTTTGTGCGGAGGCTGAGTAAGAGGGCGTCCACTGGAGATCTGCCTGGGTGTCGGCAAAGACTCAGGAAGAGACTCAGGAACAGACAGAACAGACAGATGAGGTGGAACAGGCGAGGTGTCTGTTGGGCTTGTCGACTCAGGCACTGTGATTCACAGTAAACTACCTCCATGTAAACATTAAAACACAGCAAACAAACATAATCTGACAACTCAAACATAAATACCGGCTGCAGAGCTGTACAGTGCTTGTTTGATAGTTGATAGTTCTGTATTGAAACGAATGTGTGACCTGGGACCAACAGACTGAAATACTGCCGACTGGACGGTAAATGAGGACTGTCAAACTCTTGGATAAAATCAGAATATCTGCTTGTTTTTACAAACTCCTGTTATAGATGATGGTGTCACAGTCTCTACCCCCTAAGAAGTTCAAATGAAATGACTGTATCATGTTGACTAAGGCAGGAAACACCGCCCTTCACCTGGCCTGTCAGAACGCACATGCTCAGACTGCTCGCCTACTGCTGCTCGGAGGAGCCACACCAGACACCAAGAACAATGTGAGTTGTCCAGCATCCCACGATGCACCATAGTCTTCACTGAGACTGAAATTGATTTCACCTGATTAAAAAAGTAGTTGACTCTCCGCCCTGTCACTGTGAGATTGTTGAGGTATTGTACCACAGTAAGGAACAGTTTCACGATGCACTTCATCATGGTATCCCTGGTTAGAAGATTAAACTAGACCTCTGCTTTGGTTCCAGATGGGTGACACCTGTTTGCATGTGGCTGCTCGCTACAACAACCTGACCCTGGTCAAAATCCTGCTGAGTTCACTGTGTTCTTTGATAGAGAGAAACCAGGTACAGTACAGTTAACAACCAACATGATATTGAGAGGGATAAACTGCTAAATGGTAATGTTTCTAATCAATGAAGTTATACACCTTATTATTAATGGAAGCAGAGGCACCGGGAGGTTGGTAAGTGGTGGTCATACCAGAGACCAGAGCTGGAATCCACAGTCCCGTCTGTGAGTGTGTCAGGTTTGGTCAACAAATCCCTTTGGTTAGTGAAAGATGGCGGCTTCGGTTTAGATGTGAATGTTCTCTGTATTAAACCAGACCAGGATCTTTCCCCGACCTGAGCCAAGAGCTGTGAGAGTCTGAACAGAAACCAGTCTAATGATGCTGGAGTCACTACAAGTGACTTTACTGCATTGTACTGCAACATCACATATTTTGCTGGAAACAACTATGTGAACATTTTGCATATTTGCAAAGTAAGATAACAACATTTCCTTTCAAGTAAAACACATTTGCTGCTGCAGTAATAATTATAATTTCAAGGAGAGAGGGTTTGTGTCTGTGTTTGCCTGTAGGGAGGAGACACAGCTCTCCATGTGGCTGCTGCTCTGAACCATAAGAAGACAGTTCAGCTCTTACTGGAGGCAGGGACTGATGGGAAAACCAGAAACAATGTAAGTTCTATTTTACAACTAAAACACAGTAGAATCATCATCCTAATGTCTCAAAATATCTAATTATTATATATCTATTATTTCTAAGCTTCAATTTAATCATCACCTTATTCCAAGACATAGTAATAACGACTGCAGGCTGGGGAGGCTGGGGACGGTTGCAACACTTTTTCCTAGACACACCAAACTTTTACATATTAGACTTACATCTGTAGCTAATTACCCATACCATTAAAAGATGATTACATATGACATGTCATTCACAATATTCATTTAAATGGAAGAATTCAGCTGTTGCAACTGACCCCAACCCTGTGGACGGTTGCAACACAGATCTGGGACGGTTGCAATAGATTAAAAATACATAAAATTTCACTATGTAACTTTTGCTTTTTTCTCAATAAGAATAGTATTCTGAAAATATGTTTTGTTTTACAATAATATTAAATTCATTTATTTATTTAGTAATATTTATCAAAGAACAGTAGAACCTAAGAACATAGAACCTAACTTCTGTCAAAATAGGCACAATTTATTTACTGTATTGCTTATGAGGAACAGAACAGGCAAATATATTATAAGACCATAAGAGGCAAAAAAATAATTCCCAAAATGAGTTTATATTTTTTTGTGTGTTAAAAAGGACAATTATTATTGCATGTCATTCTATGGGATAGAAGTAGCTGCATAATTTTGTCTATTTTTAACAAAAAATGTAGAAACAGACTGTTGGTCTGTGTGGTCTGTTGTGATGTAGCTGCTTGGCTTGGAGACGGTTGCAACAAGTTGTTATAACCGTCTCCACCCTCAACCATGACAGAACAACATGTGCTAGCTAGACACACTGACACATGCTAACCATGTGACTTAGAATTCAACACAACAATGATTCAAATGATTCAAATGTGCAGTATGAGCGTCATCACTCTAGCATGTCTCTTACTGGAGGAATAAGACTTGTTGCAACCATCCCTTGTTGCAGCCGTCCCCAGTCTCCCCTTCTTCTCCATTTTGCTTTGTTGGATAAAGAGATCTTTATTCAAACTAAAAATATATTATGTATGTGACACACCTGACTTCCAGGCAGGAAAAACAGCACTTGATAAAGCCAGAGACAACAATCACAAAGATGTGGCACTTCTCCTGGCCAGAGCTCCTCAGGTCAATATGAACTTAATCTAGATTTGATCAGATCACAATCCTGTATTAGATAGATCATTTGAGTCCAGATGTTGTGGTGTTTTGATATCATAAGCAGCCAGACTTAGTGGTAGCAGTTATCGTCCTCAGGTACATCGCTTCATGCGGGGAAGAACAATAAGGAAACGAAGAGAAAGACTGACAGCTGAGCGCAGGACCCAGTCTTTCACCAGAGTAGAAATACTACCAAACAAAGTAAGAAACTACCCAAAAGACTAATTCTTTATAGCTTGTGGAGACAAGAGGACAGGTCTCATGAACAATTCTTCAGTTTTTATTTTGCGTTTGATTTAAATATGACGCTACTCCTTTCCATCTGTGTGTCTTGAGGAAGACAGCAGTTCAGTGGTGGAGGAATGTACCAGCAGTGAACACATGGAGAGCAGAACTGCCGTCCAGGGGAGTCCTCAGCGTCAGCAACAGCAGCAGCAGCAGCAGCAGCAGGAGCACCAGAAGACCCCAGCCACCATCAGCAGCCCCTACAGCTGCCACAAGAGGACAAGAGTCAAGAAGCAGGTGGGTCCACAACAGAGACACCAGGACCAGGGAGTTACAGCAGCCATGTGTGCACTGAAGTCACACTTCCATCAGCTGATAGGCTCTTCAACATCAGCTGTTAAGCAACTATTTTGTTTTTTGTTTTTTTTCTGTAATTAGAAATTTGGTGAAAATTGTTTCCTAAGAAGCAGTAGTATCTGGTTGCACCATTAGCAGCTGCAAATCAATCTTTTCTCCCCTCTGAAATTTGCTGTCAGGCTGCACGTTGCTGGAAGATACAGAAAGACACTTTTTTCTTTTGTGATTCTTCTACTTGAAAGTACAGAAGCAGAGAAAGCTCATTATCCAGATATAATGAGATATTATCAGTAGAAAATGATTTTTTGTTCTCAAAGGGTTCAAGAGTCTTTAAAGGTAGGTAATGCAGATGTGTCTTAAGGTGCAGTTCCTCTAATGGCCATTAGATGGAGGTACCAACAATGTTTGATTGCAAACAAGTCTATTCAAACTCAAGAAATCCAGTTATTGATTATTGGATTGAAGTTTTGCTCCAGTTGCTAACTCAGTGAGCTCGTAGAAAAGCCAGTAGAAGCTGATGAGCAGATGAGCAGTATGATTCCACCTGTTCTACGACCCTCCACATGAAAACAAATGTGAAGTTCCCTTTAGTAGAGCTCATGATTCTCTGAAGGACAACTACATGTTGCGGGTTTCAGTAACAGTGTGTTGCTTTTACTCCTCTGAAGGCTCTGAATGAAGATGATCTGAGGAAGGGGAAGAAGAGGGATCTCCTCCGTGATGATGATGACGACAAGGGCTCCGCTCAGAATGGAAAATTCTACCAGCTTTACACTCTGTACCGCGACAAGGATGGCAACATTAGACAGGTCAAACATAACCCGGTTTATTAAGGTTCCAGAGCGAAGTTAGTCACCAACCTTATCAAAACCACTGTGTATGGAGCAGCTTTGAAAACATCTTGCTGCTAAAACTTGCTGAGCTGTACCGAACACACCTGCCATGGAAGCTGAACCATAGGGTACTCTGTGGAACCCGTTTTGCTGACTGTGCAGCTTATAACTTGTGCTCGCTCTCTTTAGGCACCAGCCAATGGATGCCACTGTAAGCCCTTGATCAAGAAGCTGGAGGGTCAAGTGAAAGCCACGCAGGAGGAGATGAGGCTGCACATCCTGACTGTCCAGGAGCAGGTCAACAGCAGGATGGGCAAAATGGCCCAACGGAACAGACACCAGGTCTACATCTACTCTGCTCCTGCAAACACATCATTCCTCTTACTTTCAGTGTCTTAAACCAATGGTTCAGTTCATTTTCAACGATTGATAAATCTAAGCTATCGTGTTGAGACACAGCAGCAACACTGTCAATTGGTTCTATAAAATCACATCAATTTACATCGTCACTATCATTTCAGATAAATTACAATTGACAATTTTCATGCCAGTTTGACAATTTATCCTTTTTTGGTTTGGGCAGATTAAAGTGTTGAACAGGCTGAACCAGGAGAAAGCAGCAGCAGAGAAGAAGAACATGGTTTACAGGATCGAGCAGAGAGTGGCTCAGGACAAAGAGGAAGCTCTGAAGACACAGGTATCACTGACAACACACAGCTGACTTGATGTGATGATTATAGAGCCCGGTCTCTCCAATCAGCATTTATCACCATTATATAACAAGTAATCCCACACCAACAAAAATTTTACAAAATCTAACTAAATAACTAAAGAACTTCAACATTGTCACGTTGTTAATTACTCATGTTATTAATAGCCTACAGGTCGTCTGTGCAGCAGGTTATTATGACCCATAGTTACATTTTGTTGCTAGGCGACATCTACAGGTTGTAGTAATTATGACAGGAGCAAAGGGAAAAGTGTAGTGACGTAGTATAAAGAGAGACAAAGTCCACGTCAGGAGGAGGTTGTGGTGGATGGATGAATGACACAGGAGAGCGGTGTTCCATTCCCATCTGAAACCAACAGCTTATGTTGTTTTTATTATCCATGACTGTATTATAGTAACCATGGCGATGAAAGTAGGTGCGCCGCTGTCGGTACAATCTGCGTGTTTGTTATTGTAACCATGACAACCAAGGTCCGGTACACCTGCCGCCCTAGGGGCGCTATTTCAGTAGACACTCCTATGTGTCGTATCAGAGGTTTGAAAAAAATGACATATGGTTGTTCAGACATGACCATTCATGTAGACTGTGTAGACAGGAAGCAGATTGTCTACTCTGCAGCAAAGATGTTACAGAAAAAACTCTGAATGAGGAGCAGCAAAGACGATTGTAACATTAAAATACAGAATTTAACTGAACAACAGCTGCTAGCAAAGACAACAAGGTCATTAACGCTTTAATTCATTATCATGTTGTTTTCACCACTGGTATACAAGGCTGATGAGAACCAATCAGGGAGCGATCGTGGGTGTCTACATCATCGTTTCCAAACGTCTCAGTTTCTGTCCATCCAGACTACAACACAATTTGGAGGTTTCAAACTAAAACTGGTCTAGCAGTGTTTGTGAGAGTCTCTGTTTTAGGGGCTTGAAGACTCTGATGTGTGAATGGCAGGAGTAAATGTAGCAAAAGTGAATGAGCTGTGAATGGGCGTACCTAACAACCAATCACCAATCGCTACTGTTTTTATTCTAAATGGGGCCCCTTTAGGGAGATTTCCTACTGAGATATCAGTGCAAATCATCCATTTGTTGTTTAAGGAGGAGAAAGTTGCATTTTGAGACATGGCTGTGGAGTTTGTTGGCCCTCCGGGGCCCCCTAACAGCCTGGAGCCCCAAGCAGTTGCCTGTGCAGAAACTGCATCTCTGCATATGGGAGGATGTCATTTTAGGTTAATTTTCAGACTTGCAAGAATAAATCTCAGAAATCTGTTTGAGATCTAAATCCCAGTCTGTAATGACTGATCTTTTTGGTACAATGCAAATAGACGTGAGAAATACAGAGTCATTTGAGCTTAATCTCCCAATTTCAACAATGAAGTAGATAAAGAGAAATTGGGTTTTTGTCAGCATCTCATTTTTGTCAGCATCATAAAGACTGATGATAAGATCTAATGATCAGAGAGCAGCTTTGTTTCTTATCTCAAGCAGGCAGCAGTGAGCCAGGAACTGAAGAGGTGGTGTGCGTCTCACCTGAAGGACATGGATGTCCACGCCCCGGTCGAAGCCCAGTATTACAAACTCCTCCCCTCACCATCTGTGGAGCAGTCTGCGGCAGACCCTGATCTGGAGTCACTCCCCCTGCTGTCGGTGGTCTCAGGAGAGAGCAGCACCTCACTGGCCAACTATGTCAACATCCTGCCATCCAGAGCTGCCTACTGTCTGGACAGCCTGGAGCCAGAGCGGGCGGGCAGGAGGACATACTTTGAAATGAGAGTGGACAGGTCACCAGGTATGTCCAAGAGAAGAGTCTATAATGCAGTCAAAGAGGCATTCAACAATGATTTGTGGCTGTTACCACTGCAAGTGTATCAACAGGCCAGTGGGAGGGTGCATGATAGTTTCTATACTATAAACTATAAAAAAAACAAGTTTTCACAGCAGAGAGGATGAAATATCCTGTGGAGAACTTGTGTGTAGTTGTCACAATTGTCAAAACAAGCTTTGATGAAATATTTTTAGCAGTTTAACCTTAAATGGGTTAAGGATGTGACTCGTTTATGGAAATACAAGCCCTCCATCAGAAACTGCATTGAAACTGAAGGTTTTGTGGTTTTCCTCAGAATGAGGATTTTGGTATTTTGGTCCAATTGACATGGGTTAGGTTGGGGTTAATATTAGGGATGCGATATGCTTTGCTACAGTCCACCCCTACTTAATTGTAGTGGTAGGTCAAGACTTACTCATTTCCATTACACATTATAACACATCAAACATCCATTGAGGAAGACAATGAAAAGCAGTTGAATGCTTCAGAAAAAGCTAGTAGGTGGATCTTGTGTTATGATTTCTTAATTCAAAGTAAAATAAAGATTAAAATAAAAAGTGTTTATTAGATAGCACACAGGAGAGAGATGACAGAAAATAAAGACATACAGCAGGATGACATCAGCTGGACTGAGTCTGAATATATAAATTATATGAAACATGTTATGATTGACTGAAAGTTTATATCTTTATTGAACAGATTCTCTTTTCATTCTGTGTTAAGTGGATGATTTATCTTTTCTGTTTCTTTCCAAAAACTCCTTTCAGACGACTACGAGAACACAGCCCTGTTTCCTCTGCCTGCCAACCACACCTCAGGCCTCCCGCTGGGCTCTGCTGACCCCCTCTCGCAACCTCCGGGAGTGCAGGACGGTCCTACAGCAGCAGTGGTGCCACTGTGTGGGGAGAGCTTCTCAAGCAGCAGCAGCAGCAGCCAGGCCAGCATCAGCGACCAGGGACCAAGACTCATCACACATCAGGGACACAGCTATGACAGGCAACACAGGAAACACCTTGTGAAGCTGATGAGTGCCCACAGGCATGCAGAGATACACGGTGACAGAACCAGAACCCTGGAGTTCTTCATCGACCGTCCCACTGAACCCACATTCAACCAGGAGAGGAAAAATCTGCACGCTATGGAGGTGAGTGTACTAATGGGTGGAATGAGGTGTGGATAGGTGATAGGTATAGTCCCCCTACTTCCAGTCTTTATGCTAAGCTAGGCTAATCGCCTCCTGGTTCTACATACAGACAAGCTGATATTTGTCTTCTCATCTCACTCTCAGAAAGAAAGAAAATAAGCATGTCCCAAATTGTTGCACTGTTCCTGTAAGGACAGAGGGAAACTAAGGAAACATAGAACCACTTGAAGGGTGTTGTTGTTTTCCCGTCAGGTAACTCAGCGTTTCTTTGAGACGGTGTCGGCCCAGTTGGAGCGCTGGTATGAAAGGAAGATTGCGGAGTTGGAGCGGCAGACGGAGCTCAGAGCCCAACAGGACAGGGAGGAGCTACTCCAGCGAATCAGCATACTGGAGGAGGAGCTTCAGAGGCTGAAGACCAATGAGAATGCAGAAAGCTGAAATGCCCTGACAGTGACCAGTGCGGAGGGGAGACTGACAGAGAATGGATTAACTTGAACACTGAAACACTCAGATCAGACAATTAACAAATAATCAGGTCCATACATAGCGTCATATACCAATTCATACTGTAAGAGTAAATACACACAGTACTTGTGGTTAGGCTCTAAATTACAGGACTAGCTGGACGGAGACTGTACATATCTATGATTTGCATATTAAAAAATAGTTTATTACTGACCTGAGGCTTGTCCTTACTGCACATCAATTTGGTGGAGATAGTATGCACATAATTAAGTTGAAGGATTTTATTAAATTGCTATGAATATTTGGATGTCTGTGTTTTGAAATTCATTGCTTCTACTGCGTTTTGTGGTGTTTGTTATATAGACAAAATGAACATAAAACATGTTCAAAGCATTAATGTGAAATGAGACGGAATGATAATAAAATAATAACAGATATAAAAAATAGAAATAAATAAAAAAGAATAAATAAGTTAAAAGTGGATTACATAGAAGCCATGAAATAAGTAAGAAAGTTTTTCATTAAAGGAAAAACTTCTTTGTTCACTCTTCTATTAAAAGTCAACTCAGCTCTGAGGCAAACAGCTCTACACAACCTGTTTTCCCAACGGACACAAATGCACCATAGGTTCTGATCACAGCTTCTTTCAGCTGCCCCACAACATTTTACCTACAGGTGCATCCTCACTGTTGGTTTCATCTGCACTTCTTTGGTGGCGCTGTGGAGGGTACACACACACACACACACACACACACACACACACACACACACACAAACACACATTTCACAGCAGGTTAAAGGCTAAAGTGAAAAGATAAGTTTTTATCTTTCTTTTTTCAGTGAGCTGCTTCTCTGATATGTTCCACAGCTTTGGGCCATAACTGACAAAGGCTGCATCCCAGATTTTCTTACAGCTGTTACTGGAACCAGCAGCAGGTGATCTCAGTGTTCTTGGGGGCAACAGTTAAAAAGAGGTTCAGGTTAAATGGATCATATATGCCACCTGCTGTTGTAAATCTGTACCTGCAGAGCAAGGGAGTAATTGCAGGATTATGGGTAATCCGCAAAGAGATGGAAATTTGCCACAAGGTAATGAGTCTCTGAGTGGTTAGGGGCATAATAATGTTTATAAGTTTGAAAAGTATATAAAAAATTGATCTAGCTTCCAGTTAAGCTAGCTAATGTTAATGCGATGCCGTCTTCTCATACAAGAGATGACCATTCTACTCAGTCTATTGTTCTGTCATGAATGCAGGTTTGTTACAGTCTCGCTCTACAGAGTGTGGTAATGTTTTGTTTTATAATATAATAAAGTCACATTGTTATGGAATGAAAAATACTAAAGGTAAACAAAAAGGTAACAGTCTATGAGAAATATTTATGATTATACATTTGTTCTTATTTTATATTATTTTTATTGTATTATTTTGTGTCATTATTTGATATTTTTGTACTTTTTCTTTGTGGTTTTGGAATAGTGACAGTTTCTGTCCTGTGTCATTGATTTTATTTACACAAATTTAAACCCACTGTATGATCACTATATATTTGTATTGTGCAGAGTGTAGATTTTTGGCGATGTTAAGATTGTGGTAATCTAAAAGGAACAGAGGATTTGCCACAAGACAGAGCATGAGCTGTGTGTTCACAAGAGATGACCATTCTACTCTATTGTTCTGTCATAAATACAGATGAATGCTGATGAGGAATAAACCTGCTGTTACCACACACCTGACCAGCTCCGGCGAGTTGATTTAGACAGAAGACATCTCACAAAGGTCGCATATAGTTAATCAGGGAGTTAGCAATGTAGCTTGGTCATTGCACATTAAGACCTTTATATATAAGGAGGAGGATCTTAAAATCTAATTCTAAATGTAACAGGAAGTTCAGCTGGGCTAATGTGCTCTCTCCTCTTGGTCTGGTTCACAGCCGAGCTGCAGTTGAATGAGTCTTGCAGTGTTTTTTTCCCCAGGTTAATGAACAGCATTTCTCTTTTCGCTTTGGGAGCGACTAGTATGATTTCAGTCCTGTCCTTGAATGAATGCTTCATATCCGCTTTGAGCACTGATGTCAGAAAGGCTCAACTGTAAGTATACCTGGAGTTTACAACTATAGATCAGAAAGTTGTTGGTGGTTGTTACATTCCCTGATGTGTGTCAGGAGATGAGAAAGGAAGATAAGGAGGCAAAACAAAAGTGTGAGGAAACCAATGAGTTTTCTTATTAAATGAAAAAGAACAACAACAAATGCTGGCTTCTAAACCACCAGGGTTAACCAAAGAACAAAATCGAGCCTCAGGCAAAGTTTGAAAAAAACCACCCTCCTTCACGCAGCGACACACGCACAGCCACTCAGCAATCTCCGCTAATTAGTAAGTGGGTACAGCTGCGTTCAGCCCATCTCCCCCCATTTGGAGGAGGAGCAGTACCTGGGGAAAGAGAGAGAGAGAGAGAGAGCAGCACACAATACAACACCACTAGGATCGTAACAGTGGTATATAAATTAAATTGAACATAAATGTAGTATAACCTGGGGCGTCCAGGGGACTGACCTGGTAGAGAGCGTACCACGAAGGACTACTCCTAACCTCAGCGGCCCAGGTTCCAGTCTGGCCTGTATACCCTTGCTGCGTGTCATCCCCTCCCTCTCCCCTGACCCTAGCTATGTAATTACACACCCTGCCTTAACTTTAATGGGAATATGATTTTTGGCTGGACCAGCCCTATAATTACAAATGTCCCTGACTGACTGATGATATTTCCACCATTGGTCAGCAGAGTGCCGAGCCACAGTCTACTGAGCCGCTCTGGTTTCCCTGACTGCTCAGGAACTGCAGGGAAGATGAGGAGCACTTCCAATACACAGAGCCTGGCTTCCATTACAGCAAATAAACTTCTTTCATTACATGTATCATTATTACTAAAGGAGGCAGAGGAATAACTAAACATAAGACACCCCAAGCAGAGGGAGCAGGAGAGAGGGAGGGAGAGAGAGAATAAATCGGTAACGAGGCTTCGTACTGACGACTATGACCAACTCTACATATCAAACAGAGGGAGCCAGACATGAAGACCTGCCTCTTACAAAAGTCTGTTACGTTCTGGAGTTGAAGTAAATACTAGACTAGACTATTGTGGATCGCAGACGAAAGCTGTGCTCTGTGTGAGAGACTAAATAACAATGATAGTGTCTTGGGTACAGACATGTACTAGGTTTAGACCTAGTCTTGTTTTTATTATTATCAAGATTTGTATTACTTTCAAAATGAACACAATAACAATTATGGTATTTGATTTTTATTTTTTGTTATTTTATAAACACTGTATTATAATACTGACATATTTTTGGCACAAATGGGACTGCATCTCTCTCTCTCTCTCTCTCTCTCTCTCTCTATCTCTCTCTCTCCCTCTTGTGTGTGTCTCTCTCTGGGCGTTTTCTTGCTTGAAGTTTAGTTTCACTTTTAATGGCCAGTGTCATGCAGTTTATTTTTTCCTCTGAAGGTAACAGTTTTTAATGTTTTACTTGCTAACACCTGTCATTACCTGAGTTATCTCACCTTTACGTTATTGTTGTGTTGTTGTTGTTGTTGTTGTTGTTGTTGTTGTTGTTGTTGTTGTTGTGTTATTATTGTGTGATCATACGTTAAGTTGCTGAGTGAAGTCTGAACGAGGTAGGAGGAGGACCATGATGTTGTGTGGATATTTGCAGTAGAAGCAGAGTTAGTTGACGGTCAGTAGTTGAACATAGAGTCGTTGTTACCGTGTAGCTCCACTTGCTGATGACTGGAGGCAGCTTTCTCCGCCTTAATCAGCCTGTGGTGAGGCGGAGATGAGCCACTTTTCTCCCGCTGTCTGACTCACTGGATGCAGTCAGAGCTCAGCTGCACAACCGCTGGACTTCCTCTGGGGTGAGTGGTCTGTCATTAGATTTACACGACAGGACTGATGTGGACTCTGTGGCGGGCTGAGGAGGTTGATAGATAGGTTGATATACAATGAAAAAGAGCTGTGTCATTCCTGTTTCTCCTCCAACAGCTGTCAGTATAAATGTTTAATTCAATGTGATCAATAGGTAAATGAAGCTATTGTAAAGGCTTTACTGAGACTGTCGGTCACTTATTGTAAAGGTTTCTTTGTTCATCCACTCCTGTATGTGTAAAGTAACTAAATACATTTATTCCACTACTGTAGTTGAGTTGTTTACAGTATTGATTAAGATTACTGTAGTACTAGTATTTCCATCTCTGCGTCTTTATACTTCACTATATTTCAGAGGCACTACATTTACTTCACAGCTAGTTATTATCCTGCATTCAGAGTATTACTTGTGTTATATTATTCTATATGTGTATTAACTATTAACTACAACTTACAGAGTATTTTAGTCAGTGCACAGCAGCTCAAATGTGAAATGTATCTACAGAGAAACAGACAATTCAACATGTCTGAAAAATAAAGTTTTTTTGGTTTTAAATGCAGCAGCAGAATTCCTCTGGAATTCAACAACTGCTTTTAAACACCAACTAACCAAAATGGGGTCAGCCCTATGTTCCCACAGCCCTATGTTCCCACAGCCCTATGTTCCCACATTTCTAAGAATTTTTTGAAAATTAGGCCCTATTTTCCCACAGTCTTATATGTTCCCATAGGCCCATGTCCACACTAACCCGGGTAACATTTATCCGGTTAGCCCTTCCGTCCACATTAGAACGGTGAATTCCGAAACTGAAAACGATGCTTTACAAAAACGATCGCTGAGGTGGATAAATGTGAAGACGCCGTGGAACGTGGATGCAAAGCGTTCTGAAAGGGTATAAAAGGGGAATATAGGGCTGTGGGAACATAGACACGCTCCCACTAAAATAACTGACAGAAGACTGTCTCCATTTCCCCTTTAATGAGGGTCCAAATACACTTTGATTTCCAGGAAATTATTCACTGTTGTAGCTGTTAAGGAGATAATCTTCTGAAATGTAATTACAGTCCATTACAGGAAGCTTTGTTGATACGGATCAGAAAGCCACATAATGGCCAATATTGATTATCTTTTTTTATAAAATAATGTTTTTAGAAGTGATATTTTAAATTTTAACTATTGCACTGTGTCGTAATCCGTGCATCAGGCAGAGCCATCCAAAATTGCCAAAGAATACGAGAATACGAACACGCTGGATTTTCTGCCTGCGGAAGGAGGCAGCAACCTGATTTTGCAGCTCCAGAAACAGGTGAATAGGGTTGCCTTTTTTCACATAAATGAGACACAGATGAATATTATCTCTTTTACATCCAAGCACACCCAGCTTCTGGAAAAGTTTCCCTAAAATAACGTTACATCCCATCGTGTATGTTTTTTTTTTCTCAGAAATATCTCAAATCAAAGATTATTTTAAAAAGAGTTTGCAAAGACGAGACTTGTGAGGACAGGTGAAAATGTGCAGAGTGCAGACATCATTAGTTCTAAAATGGGGGGAAAAAAGTTCATTTATTTTACTGATGAGATACGGTTATGTCAGGTGTGTCAGGACTGAAAGCAGGCCTAGTTCTCAGCCACAAGTGGAAGGTGTCGGTGGAGAGGCTCAGAGCGCGAGAGAGGAGTCAAGGCTTAGTACCACCCCCGCCAAAATTTTCATCCAGGAAAAACCCTGGCTTTGAGGTGAAATAACTTAAGTCTCAATTGTTGTGTGTGAAATAATTAGTGGTAGCTTGTTTCATGAAATCAATTTCTACAGGGACGCCGTAGACACAGAGACTGTGTCATAAAGTGGATCTCAGTCCTTCTGTGCGTCAGTAGATGTGAATGGTCGTCCATGCATCGTATGTTTGCTGGGCTGCTCTTCATCTCACTGCAACTTCATGTCGCCATGGACTGACAGGAGAAGTACAGCAGCTGATGGCAGCTTTCTGCACCTCACACTGCTGTCCGACTGCTTTCGACTGACACTGATATTTTTACAGGAGAAATGAGAGGAGGATTTCAGTTGATGTGCAGATGAATGATTTGTGTTTCACACACCAAACTCTGCTAGACCTAGAGCTGGACCTGGACCCAACTAACATTAGCTGTGTTAACATTAACAGTATTTAATATGTTAGTGCTCAGACATGTAGTTCAAACCTGATTGTTGAAATTATTTCTGCAGCTTTACAGGTTGTTAACTGTATGATTACGTCTTCCAAACTTAGTTGTTATTGATATTTGCTGTGTGCATCTTTTCTTGTTGATAGCTATTAGTTTCTCCAGCAGCCTCTGCAGTTGGAGACTAAAAAGTGAATTTCCCTCTCTGGTGGTTTTCTTTTTTGTCTGCCAGGATGTATAGAAGACCAGCCTTTGCTGAACCTGAGCCTGGACCTGAACCTGGACCCAGCTGCGTGTCCTTCAAGAGTGACAAGTCAAAACAGCATTACATACATTTTAAAGAACAACAACCCTCTACTGCAAAGAGGTAAGCTGTTACTCACACTAATGGTATTACCATTAACAGTATTTAATGTGTTACTTCTCAGTCATGTAGTTTAAACGTCATTGTGGATATTTTATCAGCAGTTACACATTGTGTAATTGTCTGATTGCATCTTTTAAACTATGATAGCTTTTAGTTTCTCCAGCAGCCTCTGAAGTTGGAGACTAAAAAGTGAATTTCCCTCTCTGGTGGACCTGAACCTGAACCCAGCTCTGTGTCCTTAAAGAGTGACGGGTCAAAACATAAGTTAATTTATTTATTTCAAAAACGTAAAAAACCTTTGCTAAGAGGTATGCTGTTACTAACATTATACATTACTGATTCATGTTTAAATAGCTGTTTATCCAGGGAGCGTTTTTACCTCCACTGAGGAGGTTATGTTTTCACCTGTGTCTGTTTGTTTGTTGGTCTGTAGGATTACATAAAAAGTAATGAACTGATTGATTTGCACCAAACATGGTGGAGGGATGGTTCATGGGCCAGGGATGAACCTATGAAATTTTGTTGTGGACCCATCCAGTTAAAGGAGCAAATCCAGTAATTTTTTAAATCACTTTCCTTAACATTGCTAGATACAAACAAACCAGCAAATAAACCATATAGAAAGGCACTTGCAGAGTGCAGACCTACACCAAGGCCCAATGTCCTAATGCGGGGAAGGAGTCTGAACTAGTGTGGGAGGTGGAGTGCTACCAACTAGATGTAGTTGGGCTCCCCTCTACGCATAACAGGGGATCTGGAACCAAACTCCAGGAGAAGGGCTGGACTCTCTCCTTTTCCGGAGTTGCCCAGGGTTACAGGCATCGGACAGGTGTGGGGAACCTCACAAGCCCCCAGTTGAGCACCACTGTGTTGGAGTTCTCCCCGGGGAATGAGAGGGTCACCTGGGTGCAACTGCGGGTTGCTCTGACTATTGTGTGTGCTTATGCACCAAACATCAGCTCAGAGTATCGGGCCTTCTTAGAGTCTCTCGGTGGTGTCCTGGAAAGGGTCCTGCCTGGGGACTCTATAGTTCTGCTGGGGTACTTCAACACTCATGTGGGCAACAATGGAGAAACCTGGAGGGGCATGAATGGGAGGATCGACCTCCCTAATCTGAACCTGAGTGGTGATTTGTTATTAGACTTCTGTGCTAGTCATAGTCTGGCCATAATGAACACCATGTACATTGACTTTTTTTTCCCATTTTAGAAGAACTAATGATGTCTGCACTCTGCACTGTTTCACCTGTCCTCGCGATTCTCCTCCTCGTGAACTTTCTCTTTAAAATAATCTGTGATTTGAGATATTTCTGAAAAAAAAAAACATACAGGATGGGATGTAACGTTAATTTAGGGAAAACTTTTCAAGAAGCTGGGTGTACTTGGATGTAAAAGACAAAATATTAATCTGTAGGGTTGCCACCTTTTATGTGAAAAAGGGTGGCAACTGGTTTGATTTTACTTGACATTACATTATTCACAGCACTTTGAGGACATAACATGAATGAAAATATGGGACAAATAGCATCCCATATTGATTCAAATCCAGTGAGTACCGAGAAAACAAGTACTAGAATTTTTTCGGAAGGCGGAGCTGTCCTGTATTGATACAGGATGCAGCATTTTATTTTCAAATATATGATGATATACGGGATGGGTACATGCAACCCTATTCAGCTGAGCCACAAAATCAGGTTGCCGCCTCCTCCACAGGCAGAAAATCCAGCGCGTTCGTATTCTTCTTCTTTGGTAATTTCCGATGGCTCTGCCTGATGCACGGATTTCGATACAGCGCCACTACATTGCCGTGGTGGTGTACAGCTGCAATTGCAGTTACAAACATCAAATCCACCGAGTACCAAGAAAGCAAGTATTAGAACTTTGTCGGGAGGTAGAGGCGGCACGGAATGTGACAGAGGCGGCCACCTCACAATTCTCTATGCAGGAAAAACCCTGAAATCGGGATGCCTTCTGGGTGCCTTCCTTTGAAGGTTCTCCGTGCATGTCCAACTGGGAGAAGACCTCGGGGTAGACCCAGAACTGGAGGGATTACATATCCCATCTGCCTGGGAACTCCTCTGGATTCCCTAGGAGGATTTGGAAAGCATTGTGGGAGAGAGGGGTGTCTGGAATGCACTTCACCTTCACTGTCACCTGACCCTGGATAAGCAGAAGAAAATGGATGGATGGATGAATGGATGCTCTGGCAGAACAACAGTTGTGGTGGTACTTTGTAAGTATCTATGCCCAAGCTCTAAAAGCTTTGTGACAGGATGTTGGATCAACTAATCATCGTGCTGACATGCAGGTCAACAATTTAAGCTGTTAAGTATTAGGAGGTGTGTATGCCAGCTCTTCTGTGAGACCATTCAGTATACAGTTTTCTATAACACCCTTCTCTGCATGAGTTCACATTTGTGCAGGAGCATAGTTCCAACTTAATTCTCCATGAGTCCTCCACAGATTTAACCAGAAGAAATCAAAGGTTGCCAGTGGTCAGCAGCATCAAACACACCTGGACTCTATATTTGTGGTTTGTACATATACAACAACTACTTTTACATCTGTTGTGTTCACAATAATCTCTATGCTGCAGGTTTTAGACCAGTAGGTTGTCAGTCTGTCCAACATAGATCTAATGTTTGACTCCATGGTTTTAGTTTGATTGTGTCATTCATATAGTTTTCTGTTCCACCTGCTGGAGGAGAGCATTGGCACTTTTGTGAAGAATGAGCTGAAGAAGATCCAGAAAGTTGTAGGTCCAGATTACCCAGAATGCTTAGAGAGTCAGAGGGAGGATGAAGAGGTGTTGAACAGTGAGGATGAGGAGCAGAAGAGGAGCAGCAGAGAGGCATTTCTGAAGATCACACTGGACTTCCTGAGGGGAATGAAGCAGGAGGAGCTGGCTGACTGTCTGCAGAGCAGTAAGAGGATTTCTCTAAAGGTTTAACATGATGGAGAAATTAGACTTTTACTAACATCTCAACATGAGGAGGGAAATATGTTCATATATGCATTCTTTAGGGGAATTAAATGATCATATTTTCTTTATCATTCAGTCAGATATTTTCTTATGTTTTCATTCAGGACATATTGCTGCAGTTTGTCAACATAAACTCAAATCTAAGCTGAAGAAGAAGTTCCAGTGTGTGTTTGAGGGGATTTCTAAAGCAGGAAACCCAACCCTTCTGAATCAGATCTACACAGAGCTCTACATCACAGAGGGAGGGACTGGAGAGGTCAATGATGAACATGAGGTCAGACAGATTGAAACAGCATCCAGGAAACCAGTCAGACCAGAAACAACCATCAGACAAGAAGACATCTTTAAATCCTCACCTGGAAGAGATGAACCAATCAGAACAGTGATGACAAAGGGAGTGGCTGGCATTGGGAAAACAGTCTTAACACAGAAGTTCACTCTGGACTGGGCTGAAGACAAAGCCAACCAGGACATACAGTTCACATTTCCATTCACCTTCAGAGAGCTGAATGTGCTGAAAGAGAAAAAGTTCAGCTTGGTGGAACTTGTTCATCACTTCTTTACTGAAACCAAAGAAGCAGGAATCTGCAGGTTTGATCAGTTCCAGGTTGTGTTCATCTTTGACGGTCTGGATGAGTGTCGACCTCCTCTGGACTTCCACAACACTGAGATCCTGACTGATGTTACAGAGTCCACCTCAGTGGACGTGCTGCTGACAAACCTCATCAGGGGGAAACTGCTTCCCTCTGCTCGCCTCTGGATAACCACACGACCTGCAGCAGCCAATCAGATCCCTCCTGAGTGTGTTGACATGGTGACAGAGGTCAGGGGGTTCACTAACCCACAGAAGGAGGAATACTTCAGGAAGAGGTTCAGAGATGAGGAGCCAGCCAGCACGATCATCTCCCACATCAAAACATCACGAAGCCTCCACATCATGTGCCACATCCCAGTCTTCTGCTGGATCACTGCTACAGTTCTGGAGGAGGTGTTGAAAACCAGACAGGGAGGAGAGCTGCCCAAGACCCTAACTCAGATGTACATCCACTTCCTGGTGGTTCAGTCCAAATTGAAGAATGTCAAGTATGACAGAAGATCTGAGACAGATCCACACTGGAGTCCAGAGACCAGGAAGATGATTAAGTCTCTGGGAAAACTGGCTTTTGAGCAGCTGCAAAACGGAAACCTGATCTTCTATGAATCAGACCTGACAGAGTGTGGCATCAATATCAGAGCAGCCTCAGTGTACTCAGGAGTGTTCACACAGATCTTTAAAGAGGAGAGAGGGCTGTACCAGGACAAGGTGTTCTGCTTCGTCCACCTGAGTGTTCAGGAGTTTCTGGCTGCTCTTCATGTCCATCTGACCTTTATCAACTCTGGACTCAATCTGCTGACAGAAAAGAAATCAACCCCCCAGAGTAAGAAACAAGTAAGAAACAAATCCAAATTATTCTACCACAGTGCTGTGAACAAGGCCTTACAGAGTCCCAATGGACACCTGGACTTGTTCCTCCGCTTCCTCCTGGGTCTTTCACTCCAGACCAATCAGACTCTCTTGCAAGGCCTGCTGAAACAGACAGGAAGTGACTCAAAAAACAGTCCAGAAACAGTCCAGTATATCAAGAAGAAGATTGAAGAGACTCCCTCTGCAGAGAGAAGCATCAACCTGTTCCACTGTCTGAATGAGCTGAATGATCGTTCTCTAGTGAAGGAAATCCAAGAGTACCTGAGATCAGGAAGTCTCTCCACAGACAAACTCTCTCCAGCTCAATGGTCAGCTCTGGTCTTCATCTTACTGTCATCAGAAAAAGATCTGGACCTGTTTGACCTCAAGAAATACTCTGCTTCAGAGGAGGCTCTTCTGAGGCTGCTGCCAGTGGCCAAAGCCTCTCACAAAGCTCTGTAAGTGTATAGATAGTTGGATTTATTCATCATTTTATAAAGACACTTCTATCTTTTCAACAGGAGAGAAAATAAATCCCTTTCTTCTTCAATTCCTTATCATCATCCCTTCAGACTTAGTGGCTGTAGCCTCTCAGAGAGAAGCTGTGAAGCTTTGTCCTCAGTTCTCATCTGCCACTCCTCTAGTCTGAGAGAGGTGGACCTGAGTAACAACAACCTGCAGGATTCAGGAGTGAAGCTGCTGTCTGCTGGACTGGAGAGTCCACACTGTACACTGGAAACTCTCAGGTCAGTTCAAGTTATATATTGTTTTAAATGACTGGAGATATTTGTTAAGTCCAACAATGTTGACATTAGAGAGGCCCACAAACTCTAGAAATAAAGATATAGAAATTAATTTATGCTTTTGTCATGATGTGGTTTAGATGATTTCATGTCAGTGTTAATGATGTCAACAAAAATGAAGACAAATAAGACTAAGTTGAACCGAGTAAATGTCTGGACTGTCAAATCCTAATTTTATAACCATTTCTTAACATGGTATTGTCAGTGTTGTCTCATTCCCGGATGCTGGCATTTCTGTTGTTTACATGCTATTCAGATCTGCTAGTTAGCGATGACTTCTCTTCCTTCCTCCCACTCTTCTGCTCTTTCTCCTTGGTGTGTCTTATGTTGAGCTATTCCTCTGCCTCCTGTGGTAATAATGATACATATAATCAAAGTAGTTTATTTTCCGTAATGGAGGCGAGTCTCAGTGTATTGGAAGCCCGCCTCTGCTACCCTGCAGTTCCGGGCAGCCAGGAAACAAGAGCGGCTCAGTAGACTGCCTGCAACAAGAGGTGTAGCCCATATGCAGATTTATACCGAGTCTGTCTAAAAAAAAGTCTATAAATATAGAGACAATGCATTAAGTTGGCAATACTGCAGCTGTAAACAGCCCCCAATAGAACCTGTTTGACCCAGAAACTCCAATTCAGTGACCTGAGTCAGTCAGTCAGTCAGGGACATTCCAGACTATAAGGCTGGCCCCACTGTTGCGGTCCAGCCAAAGATATTCATCGACAACTATCGTTGATTATCTTATTTTGGCATATGATCTGCTTTTCAGATCAATCGTACAGATTGCTTAATTTAAAGGTTCTAGATTTAGATACTAAATTGAAAGTTAAATTGCTGCTAACAGTTCCATTGTTGACTATTAACCAGCTAGTCCACTAAATGCAGCTGGCAACGGCAGTCCTTATGCTGTGTGTTCTCTACCAGAGCAGAACTAGAACTCCTGTAACCAGCTGCAGTCCAAGAGGATTCTACCCAAAAAACCCATTAGGAAACTAAAACTAAAATGAAATAATAGGTAATGAGAACTATGACAAAATCTAACTATAAATTCAGGAATCTCTGTCAGTCTGTCTCTATAGAGAGCACAGGTAGCTTGGTCATTGCTAATGCTAATGCTAGGTGAGCAGCAATGACAGAGAGAGTGGTTCAGAGTTTATAATGACATGGATTTACTGGATTTGCTGAGGAGAGTTAGTCTGTTGTATCACTGCAAATCAAAGTCACGTTGCTACTGTGAGTCAACAAGTAAACAGCTCTAACCATGATAACTGTACACAGCAAAGTTGCAGACAGTTCTAATCATGTTGACTATACATAACAAAGATGAAAACAGCTGGAGCCTCAAAATGCTCACGCCTAAAGATGCATGACTAAAATTAGACTAAAGCTTCTTGTGGAGAAGAGCGGAGGTGGGAATCAAACCACCAACTTTGTGATTAATGGACAAACCACCTGCTGAGACAAAAAAGTATTTACAGCTAATGAACATTTTTAAAAACTAAATTAAAATCAGGTGTCAAAATTATCACAGTTACATGTCTGTTTATTACAAAGTCTGACATATTTAACTGTCATGTTTCCATCTTGTTTCGAATAAAACAGAAAGGATTTTAATCAGTGACAATAAGAGATTATCACCAGATGTAATATCTGACACAAACAGAACAAATTTTGAAAAAACAGGTCTGTTTGCTGTGAGCTGCAGGGCAAACTGAGATTTTTGTTTGTTTTAACACAAATGTTATTTGTCCTGTTGTTTCTTAATTATTCTTCAGACTGAGTGACTGTAACCTCTCAGAGAGAAAGTGTGAAGCTCTGTCCTCAGTTCTCAGCTCCCAGTCCTCTAGTCTGAGAGAGATAGACCTGAGTAACAACAACCTGCATGATTCAGGAGTCAACCTGCTGTCCGTTGGACTGGAGAGTCCAAACTGTACACTGGAAACTCTCAGGTCAGAATTGATCAACCTGCTTAACTGATGACTTTTTAAATTCTGATTTATATAAGTGGAAGAACAGCTAACCTGTGAAGGATTGTGTAAAGGATGCTCATGGATCCAGGAACATCCATGAAATACATATAGTTTTGAAAATTCTTCAGGCAAATGTTGCTATTAATAAATTAAACTAAACTACACTGTACCTTGACCAAATGGACTGCATCCAGAAAAAAAGACAAAAATCAAAGAAAAAGAAAAACATAGCACCAAGTGGTAACAGAGGGTTTGTGTGTGTTGTTTTGTGTGTCTGTAGTCTTTCAGGCTGTCTGATCACAAAGGAAGGCTGTGCTTCTCTAGCTTCAGCTCTGAGCTCCAACCCCTCCCATCTGAGAGAGCTGGACCTGAGCTTCAATCATCCAGGAGGCTCAGGACTGAAGCTTCTGTCCGCTGGACTGGACGATCCAGACTGGAGACTGGACACTCTCAGGTATGGAGATCCCTGCTGCAGCCACAGACAATGTCTGATAGAGGACAACGAGCTGGAAATTTTTCTGTGCAGCCAGAGTACAATTATACAATGACAATTAGGGGGTTCATTTGTTCTCTTCCATTTGAATGGACTGAGGCCCAACATTCCCCCATTTGGTCTTAGGATTTCCCTCAGTCCTTTAGTTCAGTCAGTTCATTCAATTTGTAACATTGGGGTATTTGTTAACACTATCTATCTTGCCTAAGCAAGAACGGTCATGAAAATACACATTGCAACATCAAAAACAGTATAATATGGGGCGTCGCGTAGCGCAGTGGGTTACACAGGCGCCCCATATATAGAGGCTACAGTCCTCGCTGCAGCTGGCCCCCGGTTCCACTCCCGCATCAGACAGCCCTTTCCTGCATGTCATTCCCCCTCTCTCTGCCTCCCCATTTCCTGTCTCTCTACTGTCCTGTCCATTAAAGACACAAAAAGCCCAAAAAATTCTTTAAAAAAAAAAACTGTATAATATAAGATAATTAACCCGTGTTTCTCAGTTACTTATGGGGTTTCAATAAATATATGTAAACAAAAATGAACTGAGGCAGTGTGCTTTATATTGAATTTCGTTAAATTTTTAATATATATTACTGATTGGATATGAAGCGTATATTTTATTACAATCAATGTCAATTCATCTGTTTGTTCTGACTTGAGTTTAGATTAATTAACAGGAGTGTTGTAGTGTAACCTGTGCCGAGATGAGCTGCTGATATTAGGAAGAATGCTGCTGTTCCAATTGCAAAATAGTCCGCCCGTCCTCAGGAGTCTGGACTTGTGAGTTGAAGTTGTGAAGTTGGAACTGCCAAGTACAGGAGTCTGAACTTGGCGTACTCTGTATTGAGAAACGGCTAGTGTGTTTCTTTGTTTAAAGCCACTTTATGTATGCTAAAGAGTGCCAGGTGAAAAAGGGGGATTAGCTGCATTCATGATTTAATACTGGGAGCATAGGCTTGTCTAGCTGTGCGGCTTCTGTGTCTCTGAGGTGGTGGCTGGTTACTCCTTTGTCCTCCTTATAGAGTTAGCTGCAAATTCAGCTGGCAGGTTTTGTGTCGTAGCCACTGGTAATAATTTTAACTTGTTCACTCTTGATAAACTTTAAGCAGGCACTCACAGTCTGCCATTGAGAAAGAGTTTCAGTATTTTAAATCACTAAATCAAAAAAACAAAGAAGTCTGAAAAATTGTTAATCTAGCGTCAAAGCCACTAAAATGACAACACTGGAAGGACCTTTTATTATTTATTAAGTCATTGCTTTATCTGTTTATTTATTTATTTATGCATGCCTACATCATTTTTGCTCTCCATAATGTCCATGTCTGCATGCTGAAAGAGAACGTGCTGGTCTGACCCCCCTCCTCCTTTCAGGTTGGAGCCTGGTGGAGTCCGATGGTTGAGACCAGGTCTGAGGAAGTGTAAGTGTGTTTTTAATTTGATTCATGAAAACAAAACAAAGCAAAACCTGTTCAAATCACTGATGTCATGAGCCACCCTCAAACTGTCAATAAATCAACACATTAATAACTGCAGCTGTGTCTTGTTTTCTCCGTTAGATTCCTGTGAACTCGCATTCAACACAAACACAGTGAACAAAAACCTGAAGCTGTCTGACGACAACAGCAAGGTGACATTTGTGGAGGAGGAACAGTCGTATCCTGATCATCCAGACAGATTTGACCAGTGTCCTCAGCTGTTGTGTAGAAATGTTCTGATTGGTCGCTGTTACTGGGAGGTCGAGTGGCGAGGAGTGGTTCATGTATCAGTGAGTTACAGAGGAATCAGAAGGAGAGGAGACGGTGAAGACTGTGAATTTGGAAGGAATGATCAGTCCTGGAGTCTGTTCTGCTCTGATGGTCGTCACTATGTCTGTCACAATAAGAAACTGACAAATTTACCCTCCTCCTCCTCCTCCTCCTCTGTCTCTGACAGAGTAGCAGTGTATGTGGACTGTCCCGCTGGCACTCTGTCCTTCTACAGAGTCTCCTCTGACTCACTGATCCACCTCCACACCTACAACACCACATTCACTGAACCTCTGTATCCTGGGTTTGGGTTCTGGTCTGGTTCCTCAGTGTGTCTGTGTTCAGAGTAGAGAGGAGTCTCTTCCTGTTAGAGAAACTTTGTCACTGTTGAACAGATAGTTCAGTCTGTACATGTCTGTCTCTTTCACTGACACACACATTTTCAGATTCATGTATTGAATCAGTTTATTTATCAGACACTGAATGATTCCTGTTAAACGTCTTGCTCTTCCTTCCAGTCTTTTAAAGATGGAAGCTACGACTATTACAGAATAAAAATATTGTTGACTTTTGGTTTAAGACTCTTGTAATAGAGTGGTGTTGTCACCACCTTGTGGCTTTAATATGTAAAAGGCAGTAGTGATTGTTACTTAATCGATGGCCAACAAATAACCAAGCCTGTGTATGTTTGCCTTGCTGTGACCTGACGTCTCCAAGTAGAGATGTGTGTTGATGAGTGCCAACCAGTACATTACAACACTGGTTGTTATTTGCTTGTCTTTTCACAATAAAAGCATTGAGCATTGTGAATATCAGTGTTTTGTCTTTCTCTGAATCTTAGATCTATTGAACTGATTCACTTTAAACAAAAATGCTGTCACAGTTTGTATGAAAGATCTGAGAAAATAAAAATGACCCTGAGGCTCTCAGTGATGAAATTTTCTGTCCAGAGGAGAAATGGGGTTTAAAGTGTCTTTGTCCAAGAGACTCGCGTTGGCCAATGACCTTCTGGACGCTTTGAGGTTCATCAGATTTAGATTTAGATCTTGCAGATACATTTTACAGGGAAAACCATGGTTGTTAGACTGCATGTTTTTCAAGTTATAACCTTGTGACATTTTTGACAGTGCATCTTCCAGTTTTTGGCTAGAGTGCAAGGACTGATCATATTTCCACCACTGGTCAGCTGAGTGCGTTGTCACTGAGTTGGAGTTTCTGGCATAAACAGGATCTATCAGCGGGGGGGGGGGGGGGAAATGAACTCAGCTTATTGTCTCTAGATTGAGAGACTATTTTCAAACAGACTGGGTATAAACCTGGTTCATGACTGGACTGTATGGATGGAGGGCTACACCGCTCTGGTTTCCCAGCTCCTCAGGAGCTGCAGGGAAGCAAAGGAGCACTTCCAATACACTGAGCTTCACCTCCATTACTATTATTACTAAATGACGCAGAGGAATAACTAAACATAAGACTCCCCGAGCGGAGAGAGCAGGAGAGAGGGAGGGAGAGAGAGAAGTCATCGGTAATCAGGCTTCGTACTAACTGCTCTGACCAACTCTACATATCAAACAGAGGGAGTCAGACATAAAGACCTGCCTCTAATGAAAGTCTGTTATGTTCTGGAGTTGAGGTAAATAAAGACTAAACTATTGTGGATCCCAGTGTGAGAGACAAAGCTAGAAATAAAAGCAAATTCTTCACCCCGGTAGCTCAGCTGGTAAAGTGTCTATGCCTCAAGGTTTAGTCCTTGCCACGGCAGCCCTTTGCTGTGTGTCACCCTCTCTCTCTCTCTCTCTCTCTCTCTCTCTCTCTCTCTCTCTCTCTCTCTATGACTGAAATAAAAACTGAACTGAAAACTCATTGAAACTGAAAGAAGAAGAAAGATAGTCAGAAGCTCCCTAGCTGTTGCAACATACTCTAGTCTCTCTTTTATGTTGATTTCTTTGCTACTCTTTACTTTTTTCAATTGGTAACTGTATTTTTTCCAACTTTCCTGCATAGGAGCTAACGGCTGGATGCTGCCACTCCCACATATATGTATTTATAGGTGAGCAGTCACCAGGTGGCAGCCATCACTCCCCACATCCCAACAACCAGGAAATTGTTCTGGAGGTCTAGAGGCCATTACAGATGAAAGTTCACACTCTGCTTCTTTTGCTCCATTCAACAAGCTGTAGTGTTTGATGAATTCTGATAGTGATACTCATACTATCTTGTGGTTGTATTTATAGGGTTTTCTTAGGGTATGGCAGTTTCAGTTGCCCAGTGTTCCACAGTCAGTTTTTGTTGTAGTCTATAATTGTGAATAAAATCCCTTATTTTTGCTGCATCTCTTTCCTGTAGATCTTTTTGTTATTATAATCTTCTTTTATTTATTGTTATTCCCTGTATGCCTGCTCTTACAGGAAATGTAACAGGTGGGAAATTGATGTTGTCTCACCTTTGTTGACCTGAAGCTCAGATCCTAATCTAAGATAACACTGAGACTGTAACCTCAGGTTGTTGAACAACACTTCTCTTTTTGCTTTGGAGCAAAAGTTCTTTCCTTATTTAACTTTAAGAAATTATTGTTCATCCATTTATTTATTGCTAGAAGACAGGAGGAGTTTACAACTGCAGCATCATTTGAGTCAGCAGAGATGTACGGTTGTGTTAACTTGAATGAGTGCTTCATATCCACTGATGCCAGAACAGGTCAGCTTTGGAACTGGTTGGTAAACCTGGAGTTTACAGCTGTAGATCATTGAGCTGTTGGTGGTTGTCAGATGTGTGAGATACATAAATTAAATTCAACATACATTCACTATAACCTCCTTTATTGACTGAGAACTGATCCAACAGCCAAACATGATACAGTACATCATCCAGGAAGAAATACAGCGGGTTTTGGGATATAAAGATGCTGTGAATTTAGCTGTGTAATTACACATCCTGCCATCACTCTAATGGGAATATGTTTTTTTATTATTATTATCAAGATTTGTATTACTTTTAATTTAACAATTACGGTATTAGATTATTATTTTGTTATTTTATAATCACTGTATTATGATATGGACATGTTTTTGGCACAAATGGGATCGGATCTCTCTCTCTCTCTCTCTCTCTCTCTCTCTCTCTCTCTCTCTCTCGCTCGCTCGCTCGCTCGCTCGCTCGAGCTCTCTCTCTGGGCGTGTCCTCACTGAAGTTTCACTTGGAGCAAAGACTGCAGCAGTTAATTTCCTCCTCTGAAGGTAATGTGAACAGTTTTTAATGTTTTACTCGTTAACACCTGTCGTTACCTGAGTTATCTCACCGTTACGTTATTGTTGTGTTGTTGTTGTTGTTGTTGTTGTTGTTGTTGTTGTTGTTGTTGTCGTTGTTGTTGTTGTTGTTGTTGTTGTATTATGATAGTGTGATCATACGTTATAGTTATTGAGTCACACTTGTTATCGAAGAGCGGGGAGGACGATCATCATGTTTGTGTGATATAAGTATGTATATATATATATAAATGAGGGTAGAAGCAGAGTTAGTTGACGGTCAGTAGTTGAACATAGAGTCGTTGTTACCGTGTAGCTCCACTTGCTGATGACTGGAGGCAGCTTTCTCCGCCTTAATCAGCCTGTGGTGAGGCGGAGATGAGCCACTGTTCTCCCGCTGTCTGACTCACTGGATGCGGTCAGAGCTCGGCCGCACAACCGCTGGACTTTCTCTGGGGTGAGTGGTCTGTCATTAGAGTTACACGACAGGACTGATGTGGACTCAGTGTGGCGGGCTGAGGAGGGTGATAGATAGGGTGATATACAATGAAAAACAATGAAAAAGAGCTGTGTCATTCCTGTTTCTCCTCCAACAGCTGTCAGTATAAATGTTTAATTCAATGTGATCAATAGGTAAATGAAGCTATTGTAAAGGCTTTACTGAGACTGTCGGTCACTTATTGTAAAGGTTTCTTTGTTCATCCACTCCTGCGGTGTAAAGTAACTAAGTACATTTATTCCACTACTGTAGTTGAGTTGTTTACAGTATTGATTAAGATTACTTCAGTACTTGGGTATTTCGACCTCTCCTTCTTTATACTTCACTATATTTCAGAAACACCAGGGCTACAGATTTGAAATAAAAACCTAATGATCACTTTATAAAATATGATACAGGAATACAGATGAAACTACCTACAAATACAAAACAGTTCAAAGCAGCTCCTCCCTGACAGGTTCTACTGACATGTTGATGCAGGATATATTGATATAATGATGACAGAGTCCATTCTGCTTGATGAGTACTTTTACTTTTGATACTTTATAAGTGTATTTGTACTGATAAAACTTAGAAAGTGGAATTAGAAAGTAGGATTTTTACTTCACCTTTTTCTCTTAATAAGGATTTTTGTATTTATTGTTTTTTTTGGACAAAGGAGCAGAAACTATCGGGAACCAAGTCCACCTGATGAATTTGGTAATCCATATCCATTAAGAGTCTGACCGTAAAGCATTTCAGTTGCTCTGGTGGTGATTATATCTCTATGATTGTTTGCAGTGCAACAGAAAAGCTGTCTGTCAAAACATATTTGTTATAGTAAAGCGATGCCTATCTGCCTAACTGTGTCTCTGTTGTTGGTTTCATGCTGGTACTTTATGCGGGTTCAGACTTTACCATTAATCGACAAAGTAATCTGTCAAGGCCGCTTCCTCTGCCTCACACTGTTGTCTGACTGCATTCAACTGACACTGATATGAAACAGAGAAGAAGAATCAGTCGAGGAACAGCTGATATTTTAACAGGAGAAATGATGTTAATTTCAGTTTATATGCAAATGAATGATTTGTGTTTCTCTCCACATGAAGGTAGAACGTGTGAGCTGTTGTGAACTCAGCAGCATGGATCAGTGTGAGGACAGAAAGGAGGGAGCCCCTCCCTCTAAAACCACTCTGTGTGGGGAACATGAGAGCCAGACCAGAGCCCGGAGGTAAGATGAGGCTCTATAACTGTCCATGACTCTTCTCCATGTCAAAGCTCAGATCACTGCTCTGTCATTACTCCAAAAGGCCTTAGCCTTTTTTTTTTGAGTACAGCGTGACAAAAGAGATAAAAATATAATATTTAGCCTATAAGATGAGTAATAAATGATACATGTAATGATGTAATGAGTAATGAATAGTGTTACTAAAAAGCATGAATGTAAAACACAAAAGTGCACATGAAAAAAGTACATATGTTAAACAAGTACTTATGGAACACAGAAAATAAAAAATTACAGGCCCAAACGAGTATTAGTGGACTCCTGATGAGCGCCGGGCCAGTACGCAGTGCAAATCTTCTTTGTCTATTTATTTTTTTATTTTGCAGTCTGAGCCATGTTACATGTGTGCTGTATCACACTGCAGAACTTAATTTTCTATTAACTTTGTTGAGTAAAAAGGATTGAAAAGGATTTTGATTTTAATCATGCATAGTTTATCATATTTTGAATGTTTGTACCTGATTGATTGATGATTCCTTGCGAAGAGGACAGAACAGGACAAGGTTTTTTCTGATGTATATTCAGTACGTTGTTTCACCTGATGCAGATTAGATTATATCCTGTGTCTTTCAGGAGGAAACTGGAAGAACCTGAACCCAGCAGTGTGTCCATGAAGAGCGACCGGTCTAAGAAAAATCCTATATACTTCAAAGATGGACGTCACAATGTTGGTCAAAGGTAAGAGATTAAATCTGAACAGAAGCACAAAATGTCAAACAAAGTGCTTTTGCAAGTTGCAAAACACAAGGTGCACCACGCTGCTCTTCTGTTGAAGCCTGCACTTTAAAGAAGGAGCAGTGCCGTGTGTTTTTCTTGTGAGGCCTTGACCTTGATTTTGTGGTGCAGTAAACCCACAGATCTGTAGGGCAACATGTTACTTAAATATTTAGGCTACAGGTGGAGGGCACTTGCTCTGGATCTGATTAAGAGGTTGTTCTCAATAATATGCTGGAGATCAGTGTGGGTATATGTGACCTTCAGAAAGAGGAAAAATCATGGGGAATACCACCAGCTGGCCAAGGAGCTTCGCCTGGATAATGGTTGGTTCAAGGCTTATTTTAGGTTGAGTCAGGGAAAGTTTGACAATCTGCTGTCAATCCTTGGATGTAGCATCACAAAAATGACCAATAACTACAGGGGGTCCATTGGTTCTGCTGAGCATTTGTTGGCAATAGGTTATATTTGTTTTAATGTCCACATGATATTCTGGATTTAGGCCTACCCTACTGTTTATCCAACAGCCTACAAAGTCTGACAGGTGTAGATGTGGGACTTGTTACTTTCTAACTAACCATCAGGTCATTATTTAGCGCCAACCATGTTGAGAGCCATCAAAATTAGGGAAGGGTTGAAAAATTTGATTCTGATTCAAATCTATCTTCATTTGAATAATCTGATATCGATTCATAAAATCCTGAGATCGATCTTTTAATAGGCTTTCTACAATCTCCTCTGGATGGTTTTTTCATAAATAAGATGGCATTTTTTGTATTAAATTGGATAGTTGATTCTGGCTACATGCGCCTGCTGCTATACTTTAACAAACCTTTAAATGATAAGGCCCCCAACAATATGAGTAGGCAGCCATAAGGTTTTAGTGAGGATCTGGACCCACAAAGCAGAACACAGTGGAGTGATGGAAAATAATTCTTTTTATTTTAGATATTGTTGGGAGTTGTGGAGCAGGGCAGACAGGTGTGACGGACAGGCACAGAGTAGAGCTGGTGAACCGAAATCCAAACTGAGGAGATGAGATGGGGGCTGAGCGTGGCAAGCGGCAGGGTGGCAGAGAATGGACCTAAGGCACAGGAATCTAAGGGTTAATGAACAGTTCAACAAGACACAGCAAAAAAAAAGGCAAAGCTTGGCTATAGCGTAATACTGCACGATGTGAAGAGTTGAACCGGGCTTTATACTGCAGGTGGTTGTGGAGTTGATTGAATGAGATGATTTTCACTGACATTAAAGTGTTTCTCATACTGCTGACCACACTGTGAATCAACAGTTGAGTCTGCATTTCAGTTTTGACAGTGGCCCACGAGGAATCACAGAGTGTAATTCCTTGCAAAGAGGACAGAACAGGACAAGGTTTTTTCTGATGTATATTCAGTACGTTGTTTCACCTGATGCAGATTAGATTATATCCTGTGTCTTTCAGGAGGAAACTGGAAGAACCTGAACCCAGCAGTGTGTCCATGAAGAGCGACCGGTCTAAGAAAAATCCTATATACTTCAAAGATGGACGTCACAATGTTGGTCAAAGGTAAGAGATTAAATCTGAACAGAAGAACAAAATGTTTTTTTAGGCTCCGGTCAAACAGAGTGCTTTTGCAAGTTGCAAAACACAAGGTGCAGCACCACGCTGAGGAGATAAGATTGGGGGCTGAGCATTGCAGGTGGCAGGGTAGCAGAGATATGGACCTAAGCCACAGGAATCTAAGGGTTAATGAACAGTTAAACAAGACACAGCAAAAAAAAAAAAAAGGCAAAGCCTGGCTATAGCGTAATACTGCACGATGAGTCAGAACGATCTGGCGACAAGTGAAGAGTTGAACCGGGCTTTATACTGCACGTGGTTGTGGAGTTGATTGTGTGATGGACAGCAGGTGCGGAAGGAGACTGGAGGGAATAGGATTCAGGAAGCCATGCCCAGCTGAACACACACACACACACACGCACACATGCAAACTGGGCACAAACAACCACAAGAGGGAAGGGAACACAGTGGAAAACACAAGGAAAACAGGGAAAGAAAAGGACCTAATCCTGACAAGCAGAGGTAAAGAAGTAAAATGACCACGAGATACACAAGAAACTCTACTTCAAAATAAAACAGGAAATGAAACAACTATCCAGGGGCCAGTGGACAGGAAGGAGAGAAACAGGGCTAGGGAAGGAGCTGGGGTTCACGGGGGCAGCAGGGACAGAACAAGGGCTGAGGAATGGGGCAGACGACTAAGTCCCGGCAGACAGACTGGGTTGCTAAGGAGGATGGCCCAGAGGCCGGATGGACAGGCAGAGCGGCTGGAGAGGACAGCCAGGGAGCAGGCACACCGACTGGGCAGCTCCAGATGATGGCCCAGAGGAGGCCGACGCTGGAGACCGGATCTCTCAGGAGGTCGAAATCAGGTCCCCTCAGGAGACAGCAGGAGGGCGATGCTGATGCAGGCAGAGCACTTCAGGAGGCTGAGCAGGAGGGGGACGGTGTGTCATCTCAGGGAGCAAAACTGGAAAGAAATGGTGTGGGCGAGTCGCAGGCGGAGTCCCTCTGGAAGGCAAGCAGAAGTCAACTAGACCACCGACTGGGGAATAGGAGCAGAAGTTGACCGGACAGCCGACAGGACATGAGGAGCAGGTTTAACGTCAACTGGGACCCCGGACACTGGAACAGCCGATGAATCAACCAGTGCGGTCAACTTAGGAGCAGACACAGTAACAGGGGAGGCTTTGTCTGAGGAAATTGACTCTGGAGAAAAGGAGGCGTTGACCAAGATCTTCTCACACAGGAAGAGGCAAGATGCTGATCAGATGCAGGAACAGAGGAAAGATTGCCCAGGACCAGCGACTCAGTAACAGGGGAGGTGTGATCAGCATAATGAGAAACATGTTAATGTCAGGGAAAATCACCTTATTCAATATTATATCCAATCATAGAGCTAAAACGACCTTTAGCTTGTGTCTGTCTCTGTGTGGACAGACATAATGTGAACTCATTCTTCATGGTTCCTCCACAGAGTGGACCAGGAGAGCTCAGAGGTTCCCCGTGGTCAGTCTGCCCAGCAGCATCAACCAGACCTGGACTCCATATTTATGGTCTGTAAATGTTCAACAACTACTTTTACATCTGTTCTGTTCACAATAATCTCCATGCTGCACTTTTAGACCAGTGGATTGTCAGTCTGTCCAACATGGATCTGATGTTTGGCTCCATGGTTTTAGTTTGATTGTGTCATTAACATAATTTTCTGTTCCAGCTGCTGGAGGAGAACATTGTCACTTTTGTGAAGAACGAGCTGAAGAAGATCCAGAAGCTTCTGATTCCAGATTACACAGAATGCTTAGAGAGTCAGAGGGAGGATGAGGTGTTGAACAGTGAGGATGAGGAGCAGAAGAGGAGCAGCAGAGAGGCATTTCTGCAGATCACACTGGACTTCATGAGGAGAATGAAGCAGGAAAACCTGGCTGACTGTCTGCAGAGCAGTAAGAGGATTTCTCTGTTTTTATCCACAACAACATTATATAATAAGACACTTGTTATTGTAATATTGATCATGACACGTAGGTCTCTGTCCTCCCTTCTTTGCCTATGAAGAACCTCGACTCTCTCGGCTTGACTCCTCCGCCTCTGCTCCCTCTCCCAGCTCCCGCTCGCTGTCCTCCATCCCCTTGATGGGACAGGTGAACCCTCACTGGCCTCGCTTAACATGCTCAATTCTCTTTCACTTCAAAAATTAAAACAGCACAGTCTCTGTCATCCTTATCAGTGCAATACCTAACCTTATGCCAACAAATTTCAGTTAGAAGTGTTACATGTGTAGCGCGAACACCACAATTTGAAATTTGCTCTTGTTAAAGAATGGGGCACCAGTCCTCAGGGAGGACAATTTGATTAAAATTAAGGATTATTTTTGATCAATCTCACATCCAAAGTTGTGATTTCTCGATTACAGGGATCTCCGATCTTCACTTCAAAGAAACACAGGGCAACGACTGGGTCACGTTGATAATATTTATTGACTAACTAAACACAGGAGGAGTACAATGAACAATGATAATGAACATGAATCTATGACTAACGATACCTATATCTAGCAGCTGAACTAGCAGTGATTTGGGCGATGGTGAAAGAGAATGAATTTGCTATGTGTATAGCATTTATTCTTACGGTTGGAAATTATTAGGTCGGGACTAGTATTATTCCGACATCAACCCAGTTCGGAGCAAAGGATGGAGTTGCCTACTTTGAGTTGCGTGCGCTGTTGAGATCCTGGCTGGAGCCCCGGAGTTAAGTCGCTAGGTGACGGGGATGCCACGCTCCTAGTGGGTTTCTCTCAGAGATGACGGCCACTGCCAGGGGTGACGGGCTCTGCCGATGTCTCGATGGGTCAGCGTTGGCGCAGTCTGCCAGCAGACTTTCTTACATAGGCACTCTCGAGATCTGGTCAGCTGGTCCTGGTGAGGCGTGTAGCCGGAGGGCCGGAGGTTGACGGCAGAATAAGCGCTAGTATTTAATTTAATTTGCCAGATAAGATGGAAGGAATTGGTGTTGGCCAAACGACACAAAACCTTCAAAATCTTCTTGACAAAAGTTGAATTTGTCGAAAAAGAAAATGACGAAATTACTTATACACACCTGTGTGTGATTCAATTTGGAAGGCTTGGCTTGCTGAAGTAGTAAAAACGAAAATCGCGCACAAAAGTATAAGAAAATTGAGGACAAAGAACACGAGGTTGGTACCAAAGTAACAAAGTAAAGTTTAGACTAGAAACGAACGTGAGCTAGTGTGCAAAATGAGAGACAAGAATGTAAGAGACTAGACGTAAGAGTGACAGTAAGATTAAGATTGTAAAAGAAGAGAGTCTGCCCTGGAGGATCCTGCTGTTTTATCCTCGGGGTGTGTGTAGCCGGGGGGGGGGGGCTTGACAGTTGTCGCCACCCCTCAGGTTTTCCTTCTCTTTCTTTGTTTCAATAAAGAAAGAGATAAATAAAACCTTAAGTTATTTTGTTTAATTTGGTTTTACTCGCAAGTGTTGCGTATTCTACTCCCACCATGGCCCATTCATTTTACCAACGGCATATACCAACTACCTAGCTACGGTTTGGAATATACGAAATAAACTAATAACATCATCATGGGTAATAGTACACATAGAATATATTCACTAACAAAAAGATAACAATTAGTACCCACACAAATATATAGCTACAGCTATAGCATGAAATAGTAATATCAAAGTGATATATTAGGTTGCAGTTAATTTCCTAGAGGAAAAAGGGGTCCAGAATGGTCCTTAGATGGCAGTATTGTAACGTGGTGGATATTTACCTTAGAACTGATAAAATATATCTCAGCTTCCTCTTGGGCTACAGAAATGAATTTTGGACCATACTTTATGGAAATCTTTCCAGAGTAATAATGCATGAATTACCTGGTGATGGGACATTCCGTTCAATGACATTTTAATCATGCTTTATAAATGTAGAATAATGGTTATCAGTCCAGCTTGGAATGTAGGATGGTTTATGGCGGGGGCCTGTGGTTCCTCATGAGACCCCCCTTTGGGTATGAAAGGGTGTTAAAGTTGATGATGTTGTTTTCTCTTGTGAGAGAGAAATGAGTCAAGAGTGTGAATCCTGATGGTTTAGCACCTTGATAGGGCTAAATGTTCCTTTTCATGTTACCTGATAAGAGGTGGCACCCACCTATCAGTTCCAGATGAATCTCAGGGATGCGACATGAACTCAGTGTCAGTCTGTTGGGAGTGTTGTGTTTGTCTCCCATTTGTTGCAGGAGTGTTGATTCGGGATGAGTTCCATGAACTAGCCATAAATTCCGATGATATCTTAAAAGCTAGTTTATTGGTGAGAGGAACTCATTTCGTCCCTGTGTTCTATCCAGGTGATAGTTTGATGATGGGAAAGTGGACATGGGGGGCTCTCCATATACTCCAGAGCACCCCAGGTCCTTACCATAAATCTTGTGTCCGGTCACTGGCGTCCACCAGTGTCAGCTACACATGCTACACTCCCATAGCCTTCATCATTTTAAGCTAAATTAGCTAAGCTGCTGACATTATAAAATCTCCTCACTGAAATAGATACAACCAAGTAAATGCAGCCTCTTCAAAAAATGGTAGAAACAATAAAAAACTATGTATTATAAATCCTAAACTGTAAACCTTGTTACATTGCATTGTTTCAGTGCAAGAGGAGAGAAGTGTTACTCATCTCACGCTAGCTTTGGACCAGTGCCTACCTCATAAAGTTTGTTGTGACCTGTCTGTTGATCGTGTCATTGTTTCAGGAAACAGGAAGGTAGGGCCAAGGGGGAGTAAGGAGTAGCTAAGAGTGTGAATTTGTTGAGACTATCACTTGACAGACTTGCGGCTGAAAAAGTTAGATATAGTTACTTAAAGAAAATGTGTTTATGTGTTCTTTCAGAATCTCCTGCTATGTGCCAGCCTAGACTCAAAGCTAAGCTGAAGAAGAAGTTCCAGTGTGTGTTTGAGGGTATCGCTAAAGCTGGAAACCCAACCCTTCTGAATCAGATCTACACAGAGCTCTACATCACAGAGGGAGGGACTGGAGAGGTCAATGATGAACATGAGGTCAGACAGATTGAAACAGCATCCAGGAAACCAGACAGACCAGAAACAACCATAAGACAAGAAGACATCTTTAAAGCCTCACCAGGAAGAGATGAACCAATCAGAACAGTAATGACAAAGGGAGTGGCCGGCATTGGGAAAACAGTCTTAACACAGAAGTTCACTCTGGACTGGGCTGAAGACAAAGCCAACTGGGACATACAGTTCACATTTCCATTCACCTTCAGAGAGCTGAATGTGCTGAAAGAGAAAAAGTTCAGCTTGGTGGAACTTGTTCATCACTTCTTTACTGAAACCAAAGAAGCAGGAATCTGCAGGTTTGATCAGTTCCAGGTTGTGTTCATCTTTGACGGTCTGGATGAGTGTAGACCTCCTCTGGACTTCCACAACACTGAGATCCTGACTGATGTTACAGAGTCCACCTCAGTGGACGTGCTGCTGACAAACCTCATCAGGGGGAAACTGCTTCCCTCTGCTCGCCTCTGGATAACCACACGACCTGCAGCAGCCAATCAGATCCCTCCTGAGTGTATTGACATGGTGACAGAGGTTAAAGGGTTCACTGACCCACAGAAGGAGGAGTACTTCAGGAAGAGGTTCAAAGATGAGGATCAGGCCAGCAGGATAATCTCCCACATCAAAACATCACGAAGCCTCCACATCATGTGCCACATCCCAGTCTTCTGCTGGATCACTGCTACAGTTCTGGAGGAGGTGTTGAAAACCAGACAGGGAGGAGAGCTGCCCAAGACCCTAACTCAGATGTACATCCACTTCCTGGTGGTTCAGTCCAAATTGAAAAATGTCAAGTATGATGGAGGAGCTGAGACAGATCCACACTGGAGTTCAGAGACCAGGGAGATGATTACGTCTCTGGGAAAACTGGCTTTTGAGCAGCTGCAGAAAGGAAACCTGATCTTCTATGAATCAGACCTGACAGAGTGTGGCATCAATATCAGAGCAGCCTCAGTGTACTCAGGAGTGTTAACACAGATTTTTAAAGAGGAGAGAGGGCTGTACCAGGACAAGGTGTTCTGCTTCGTCCATCTGAGTGTTCAGGAGTTTCTGGCTGCTCTTCATGTCCATCTGACCTTCATCAACTCTGGACTCAATCTACTCTCAGAAGAACAGTCAACCTCCCACAACTCCAAGAAGAGAAAATCCAAGAAAGAATCCAAAGAGACAAACTTCTACAAGAGTGCTTTGAACAAGGCCTTACAGAGTCCAAATGGACACCTGGACTTGTTCCTCCGCTTCCTCCTGGGTTTTTCGCTGCAGACCAATCAGACTCTCCTACAAGGTCTATTGAGACAGACAGGAAGTCACTCACAGACCAATCAGAAAACAGTCCAGTACATCAAGAGAAAGATTGAAGAGACTTCCTCTTTAGAGAAAACCATCAACCTGTTCCACTGTCTGAATGAACTGAATGATCAGTCTCTAGTGGAGGAGATCCAAAAGTCCCTGACTTCAGGAAGTCTCTCCACAGATAAACTGTCTCCTGCTCAGTGGTCAGCTCTGGGGTTCATCTTACTGTCATCAGAACAAGAGCTGGATGTGTTTGACCTGAAGAAATACTCTGCTTCAGAGGACGCTCTTCTGAGGCTGCTGCCAGTGATCAAAACATCCAAGGCAGCCCTGTAAGTGTATAGATAGTTGAATTTATTCACCATTATATATACTTATGCAGCTTTTTTTTAAACTGGAGAGAAAATAAACAACTCATTAGTTATTTTTTTCTTTTCAGACTGAGTGGCTGTAACCTCTCAGAGAGAAGCTGTGAAGCTCTGTCCTCAGTCCTCAGCTCACAGTCCTCTAGTCTGAGAGAGCTGGACCTGAGTAACAACAACCTGCAGGATTCAGGAGTCAACCTGCTGTCTGCTGGACTGAAGAGTCCACACTGTACACTGAAAACTCTCAGGTCAGGATTCAATTGATGACCATTAAAAATCTCATTTACATTAGATGAACAGCTTTACCACAGCTTGTAGCAGATTTAACATGTTTAGATAAGAAGGGTGCCAGTCAGAATTATGTCTGACAAATTATAGTCAAACCATACAATGAAGCAAATAGCAAAATAGCAATGAAATATTCAACACAAATAAACCAGCACTACTGTATGTATGTTGCCCAGCGTTTTAAAGTTCAGTCCAAAGAGTAAGGTGGACACCTAAAGCACCTCTGTTGAGTGGAAATAACTCAGATCAAGACGTCTTAAATTCCAGAGAAAGAAACAAACTACAGTATTTAGTAAAATAATGTCATTACCAAACTCTAGATGGGGATAATATCAAATAATATTAAACATTCTTATATGGGCTAAACATTTTGAACTCAGAGCGACTTGATTCTATCATACAACAATTGAAAAATCAGCCTGATGCAAGACTCAATAGTTACTCACACATGGGAACACATTGTTGAACAGCCACCATCCACCATGGGAAAAAGGAAGAAAGAAACTGATGACATGTGCAACTCAACTACATAGCAGCAGTGACAGTCTCATTTACATTGTGGGACTTTCGTACAGCTGCCCCCAAAATTATGACAGTTGTAACTTTGTACACACAACAGAATGTCCATCAGCCTATGGTAGATACATTAACAACATCCTCCTTAATAGCAGGGAGTCTAATCAAACAATTTGCGCATATTCCTTGTTCGAGCATCTGGGTGGCTGCTAGTTGGAATGCGTCCATCATCCTGACACCTTTCCTACAAACCAGAATGCTCGAGGATGCTCGAGGATGCTGAGGATCAATAATGAAAACCACTTGACTGACTTCCAGGTCTTCCTCATCCTTTTTCCATTTTTTTCACGCTTACTGATCAGGTAAGTAATTTCTGGCAAAGTTGATCCAGAAATGATACACAGGGATTTCGGTCTGCCTTCATTGGAGTGTTCCAAGTGTGTCACTTGCAGCATACATAGCCTGCAGAAGTGATGTGTCGTGACCACCCTTCAGAAGGACATTAAGAATGACTGAATTCTGACATGCCACTTCAGATGACACATCTACCAGCGGCTTCAAATTGAGCACACCTTCTACCTTGAGTAGGACTGTGTGTAAAATGACATCTGTAAGTACTTGGTTTTCCAGAACTACTCGCTGAGCAACTTACACAACCTTTACCTCTCTACCCCACACTTCATCAAAGTGAAGTAGGTGAATTGAAAGAGATTTAGAATCAGATTATTACCAGATTGAAGTTGAGGATGCGGACAAACCGGACAAGACGGCTTTTGTATGCCTGGTTGGGTTTTGGGAATTTAACCGAATGCCTCAAGGCAAACGCACCTAAAACATTTAAAATATTGATGGGAAAGTGCATGGGAGGCATGCGTTCAAGGAAGATACTAGTTTTCTTGACTTACTAGTATTCTTGAAAACCCTGGAGGAGCATGAGCTGAGACTGATGATTTACCTTGATCGTCACAGAGAGTTTGGGTTGAAGCTATCCCCAGAAAAATGTGTCTTCTTCAAGACATCCATCCGTTATCTGGGCCATGTAGTCTCTAGGAACGGAGTTCAGACCGATCCAGAGAAAATCGCTGTCCTTAAGACTTGGCTATTTTCTCAGAACCTCAGAGAGTTCAGGTATTTTGTAGGGTTTGCTGGGTATTACACTAGGTTTGTTAACGGCTATTCCGGCATCATGAAGCCCCTTCACGGCCTAACATCCAGTTATCCATCTTCCCACAACAAATCCAAACTGAAAGACAAAGCAGATCAATACTCCAATCCAAAGGAACCCTTTGGAGATCATTGGACACATTGACAGCAAGTGTTGGAGCTGGTTGTTCAAAAACTTACCTCTGCTCCTCTGTTGGGTTTTACAGATCCTCAAAAGCCCTATGTACTCCATACTGATGCTACCACCAGCAGGATCAATGTTGTTTTGTATCAAGAACAGGAAGGCCAGCTTTGAGTCATAGCCTTTTCAAGCAGAGGGCTGTCTCAGTGGGACAACCACTACCCACCACACAAGTTGGACTTTTTGGCACTCAAGTGGTCAGTGACCGAAAAGTTCAGCGATTATCTTTACGGCAATCATTTCACCATTGTTATTGATAGTAGCCCATTGACATACATACTGACCTCAGCAAAATTGGACGCGACAAGATACTAATGGCTGGCAGCATTTTCCACATTCTCATTCAAACTGTTGTACCGACCTATAAAACAAAATGCTGATGCAGATGGGCTGTCCCTCAGAACCCATAGGAAATTGTCAGACAATCTAAAATCACAAAAAGTCATTGAAGAAATATGTGAGTTTACCCAAGAGCATCTCTGATCTACAGAGCATTGATGCAGTAGATCAAGCTGTTCAAGCAATCCGTGAGGGACAGTTTGTCTACAGTGACAGCCCTGGTGACCAGGGCAGTGCTGGTGGTGCTGTCCTAGTCGTAACTCTTGTCATCTCCACTGATGCTGTGCCCGACAGTTATGGGCAGGAAGATCAATTTGGAGGATTGCCAGTTATTCCCCATCTAACTGAGGCAGAGTTGGCAAACAAACAAAGAGTTCACCAATGTATTTCTGAGTGTGGGGACAAGCCAACCCCTACACTGAGGAGTGAACTCCCTGATCTTCCACTCCTGTTGAGGGAGTTAAATCACCTTGAGCTCCTCAATAACATCCTGTACAGGAGGGCCCACACAGTGGCAAAGTGTCTGTGGGAAAATTTTATTGTACACTATGGGATCCAAGAAAGACTACATAGTGATCAGGGATCAGATTTTGAGTCCTGCTTGTTCAAAGAGCTTTGTGAGATAGCTAGCATAAATAAGGTGAGAACGACCCCATACCATCCTAGCGGCAATCCTACTGAGTTATTTAATCACACCCTATTGGACTTGCTAGGTACTCTGAAGAGTCAGGAGAAGTCCCAAACAATTGTCCATATAGATTGCTGGCTGAATCTTATGAGCACTCCAAGGAGGGAAGGAGCAAGAGTGGACCCAAGGAGCAACGCACTATTCTGTGATTGTCACTTGTAGTGAACAAACAGTCAAAACCAATCCTGTCCTTACCGTTGTGTAAAACTTCATATGCCTTCATATGGCCAGAGCAGGATGGTGACTGCTATGAACGGGACCTAATGGCATTCCTGTTTAGCATGGTCTCCCTCCTCTAGTAGTTGATGTTGATGTAGCTCCTCCAGATCAAGACGTTAAACCTGGTCATCCAGCACTGCTGTGGGTATGTGAAGCAGTAGCTCTGACATCAGTATCCTCAGGCTCCATTATCTCCAGTGGTGTACAATAAACAGACAATGAAACACAGTACAGCAATTAGTAAAATAATGTAAGTACCATAATCTACGTAGTGGTAATATCAAATAATATCAATTAAGCATTTTTACATAGGTTAAACATTATGAACTCAGATTGACTTGATTCAATCTTACCACAACTGAAATAACAATCTGAAGTAGCTAACAAGACCTAGAATGACATTTCCACAATTTGACACAGTATCACATTATTAATCCTCAATTACTGTCTACAGTTGAAATAAAACACGTATATACACATATACACATACATATTAATTCACTAACCAAGTAGAGATTCACACACATTAACATATTATGAACATCCACCATCCACCAAGGGAAAAAGTAAGACAGAAACAGACTGACAAAATGTACCACTCATTTAGTAGGTGGGGTTTCCTTGTCAGGTCGACAGGGGCTGTACCCCAGCAACTACATAGTAATATTGACAGCCTAATTTTTATTGGTGAGACTTTCACACATATGTGTTAGCATGTTGATGTTGCAGTTGAGCTCAAAAAACCAACCTGTCCACCATGAGTGTACACTCTGAAACATTTTCATTATAATAACACGGGTCCTGTTAACTCCCTGATTTTGACATTGTATTTTTTATTTATTTTTCCAGAGAAAGTTACACAGCAGTATCCAGCAGTATCTGTCATGTGTGTCGTTTTGTGTGTCTGCAGTCTGTCAGGTTGTCTGATCACAGAGGAAGGCTGTGTTTCTCTGGCTTCAGCTCTGAGCTCCAACCCCTCCTATCTGAGAGAGCTGGACCTGAGCTACAATCATCCAGGAGACTCAGGACTGAAGCTGCTGTCTGCTGGACTGGAGGATCCAGACTGGAAACTGGACACTCTCAGGTATGGGGAGGCCTGCTGCAGCCACAGATACAGGTTGAACATAAAAAAGTGTAGGAGATCTCAAAAAATTATATTTGCGTGATGGTAATAATTTATGCTTTTGTACAGCAACAGTTTGAGAAATATACTTTTCTTCCCTCTTACATAGGATTCGTATCAGTCTCTATAATGAGAGAGGTCAAGCATATCTTTAGCCTAGCTTAGCACAAAGAGAAAAAATTAATTACCAGTGAAGTATGATAATTAGTTAAAACTGTGCTGGAACGTGACATCCACAGACAGGACTTTTGAGATATTACATTCAAGTTTGTTTTTCAAATTGTTGGGCTGCTCCTTTTTCAGTTCATAACAATCTGTGTATGAGAGCCATGTATTATCCATGTCTGCATGCTGAAAGAGAATGTGCTGGTCTGATCCCCCTCCTCCTTTCAGGGTGGAGCCTGATGGAGTCCAATGGTTGAGACCAGGTCTGAGGAAGTGTAAGTGTGTTTTTAATTTGATTCATGGAAACAAAGCAGCACATTCAACCATATTCAAACTGTCACATCACTCATTCAGATCACTGATGTCATGAGTCATCGTCAAAGTGATAATATATGATCATATGATAGATCAATAACTGCAATTGTCTGCTTCTCTCCATCAGATTCCTGTGAACTCACAATAGACACAAACACAGTGAACACAAAGATCAAACTATCTGACAACAACAGGAAGGTGACACGTGTAGAGGAGGACCAGTCATATCCTGATCATCCAGACAGATTTGACCACTGGCCTCAGCTGGTGTGTACAACTGGTCTGACTGGTCGATGTTACTGGGAGGTCGAGTGGAGCAAAGCAGTTCGTGTATCAGTGAGTTACGGAGGAATGACAAGGAGAGGAGACAAAGACGATCGTGTTTTTGGATGGAACGATCAGTCCTGGAGCCTGAGCTGCTCTAATGATGGTTACTCTTTCCGGCACAATAAGAAAGTGACATCTATCTCCTCCTCCTCTGTCTCTGACAGAGTAGCAGTGTATGTGGACTGTCCCGCTGGCACTCTGTCCTTCTACAGGATCTCCTCTGACTCACTGATCCACCTCCACACCGTCAACACCACATTCACTGAACCTCTGTATCCTGGGTTTGCAGTCTGGTGGCCTGGTTCCTCAGTGTCTCTGTGTTCAGTGTAGCAGAGAGCGTCTCCACCTGAGAAACGTTCTCACTGTTGAACACGTAGTTTATTCGTTTCATATTAGCAATATGTTTAAGTCAGTTGTTTGATCTGTGTCCTGTATTTGTACATGAAATTTCCATGCCAAAGTAAAAAACAATTAAAGTTGCAGCATTGATAAAAAACATCCTCAAGGAGTTCAGAAAACAGTCTAGTTCATTTAGCAGCTATTCTGGAGTTCTCAATTGTATCTTGTAATTTTCCTCAGCATGATGAAATGTGTCCTCTAAAATTAAGTGTTGTGGCTTTAGTAATGAAGTCCCATCACTTAAAGTAAGAGATTGAGAAAAGATAATTTCATGACTTTTAAAGATGCTGATGAGTAAGAAAAGATCATTGGTCAGAGACCAGTTTGGACTTTACAGCTGAATTAACTCTCTGTTCATTTTGATATGAGCTGTACTTATTGTGAACTTAAAATGTGAGTTCATTTTTTTTTCTAATCTATTAACATGCAAAAGGGGCAGTTGGACAAACTGAAGCCATTTAAACAGCATTTCTGTTATATTGAGGTCATAATGTCACATAATCATTCATTGCAATGGGACTTTGGTAACATTCTTATCCCCTGCTAGATGACAGATAGTAAAAGACTTACAATACCTATATACCTCTGTGTTCAGACACGGTCAGTTAAACTTGCTTATAAGTCTGTCCTAAGTCTTTTTTTGTAATATCTTCCTTTTCTCTCTTTCTCCCATTACCTTTGCCACTTGTCTGTCAGTCTTTGCTTAATAATCTAATCTAATCTAATCAATGAGTTTCTGTTTTTTGCCTCCTTTGTGACCTTGTCTGCCATTTAATTTCCTTTAATGCCAATGTGTGCTGTATTCATACAAATATTACTGCCCCATCATTTAAATTCTGTATGTTTGTTGTACTTGTATCAGAATATCTGGTCTGCTGTCTGAATGACTGAACTGTAAACTGGCGAGTGATGAACTTGAACCTGAACAAATGATTTTTATCAACAGTCTTGTTTTTTCTATCCACTGTACAGCTAACAATATTGCAAGTATTTCTCCTGTGTAAACTGAAACTTCATCATTTATACTTTTCCCTACTACTCTGGATCAACAAATGCAACTGCAACTATCATAGGCCTATATGGTATGTGAATTATAAATATAATAAATAATATTTTTTACAATAACTTAATTATCTTTATTTTTTTCCTTTGTTTTCTAACTATGTAAATTTTCTGTGGTGTCTGGAAGTATCCAAGGTGGTATTGTTAGTAATGGCACCATTTGACTAGCATTTCATTGACTTACTTTAAGTTTCCCAATGGATGGATGGATGGATGGATGGATTATAATAAACCATTATTGTTCATTAGTCCAGGTCATGAGCCACTTCCTTTGGCTGAGGTGTTGCATAGCCTGATGGCAGTGGGAACAAAGGATCTCCTGAACCTCTGTTCAGTGAAATGAGAAGTTTGCTGCACCTGTACCTTACATTGCATGCGTCTCTCCACAACAGTCCTGAGTGAGTCCAGACTCCTGCCAAGCACAGACCCAGCCTTTTTTACCAGCTTGTCCAGTCTCTTTGTGTTCATGTTGGACATGCTGCCACCCCAGCAGACTGCAGCATAAAAGAGTACACTGGCCACCATAAAACATGTGCATCAAACATTGTTTGACTTTTCAAGTTATGATTACTAAGTTTTATTTCTATTAGGGGTGCCAGTCAGGTCTCTCTCCTGGCATTCAAGATAAGTCGAGTTCAAGATTAGGTCAAACAATACACAAAGGATGCACATTCAAAATGTGAGCACAGTAGTTACCAAAGGGTGGCTGGCAATGACGGGTGGATGACGATAAGTATGGGATTTGGGTCTACTGCAATGAGCATTTTGCTCTGTGTTGCTCCTACTGACCTGCTCTGACTCCCTCCTAAAACTGAATGAACTGTGTTGATTTGCAAAGAGGAAACATTTCAACCCATCTTGTGTAGTAATTCACGAAGACAATGAAGTAGAAGTTAGGGATGGGTACGAGTACTCGTTGTTGATGTCATTATTCAAGTAGCGTCTCACCACTTGCGCACCTGTGCACGTGTTGTTTTTGGCTACATTAGTTAAACCCAGGTAGCGTTACATGCACCATGGCAGCCGTGACTAGGGAAAGAGATGTCAGGAAATACTTTGATTAAAAAAGACGACAATAACGTTAAGTTCAAGATATGTGTCATTAAACTTGCATATCATGTTCTCCGACAGTCAAACATGGGTGTGGTCAGGGAGGTCCGTGTCCAACTGGAAACAAAAGCGGAATCTTTAAACCGGTGGTCCCAGTCAGACATGGACCTCTCGTATTTCGTTTTTTTACGGTAAAAAAAATACATATATAATTTGCGAGTAATCTAGTACTTGTTCATAAGGTAGTGAAAGTACTTGAATATTGAAATTACTGAAAATGCCCATTCCTAGTATAAGTTGCTATTGGAGCTTAGAGGAAAGGAGCCCATGAAATCAACTTCTAGCATATCCCAAGGTTCTTTTTCTACAGTTTGTTGAAGTTTTCCAGTCCCTTCTTGGACTCAGGTTTGTAGAGCTGGTAAACCCGGCAACATCGCACATTCTCTCACATCCATGCTCCATGCTTATCTCATGGTATGTACACTTGATATAAGGTTTTAGAAGGTAACTGCACTACTCTGTGTCACAGCCTGCTATGCCGATTTCTCACTCTCCACTCTGCCACACCTCCTAATCAGCTTCACTGTCCTCACCTGTTGCCCCCAGCTGCAGTCGATCTCCAATCGGACCATTATATAAACGTCCCCGGTTCACTCGCTCCTTGCCAGATTGTTCTCAGCGTCATGCTTGACTTTCCAGTGATTATCCCCAGACTGACTTCCTGTTTTCGACTCTGCTTGTCCCTGACCATCCTGCCTCGTCTCTGCCCCGGTAAATACCTTAGCCTTCTGTCCCCGACCATGAGTTCTGCCTGTGCGCTTCCTGGTCCCCGTCTGCCCATTCCTGTGGCTGTTGGGCGTTTTCCAGCTCCCTCGACGACATCTCCAGCCTGCTCCCTGACACACGGCACTGCCAGCCCCAGCCTTCGGGTCACCTCGCTCCACTCATTGGACCCCGGGCTCTCCAGCCCCGGACCCTATCCTCGAGTCCTCATACCCACCTGTGTGTGTTCTCTCTGCTTGTATTTCAATAAAGGTCATTTCAAACTATCCATCTGTTTGGTTGTGCTGCACGTGGGTCCTATCACACCCTGTTACAACTCTGTATACTATGTCCTCCAAAACAGTGAACTTGGTGGTCAGATTTTCAATCACTTCTCCTGTTTCTATGATTTTGTCACACAGGCTCTGGATGAAGAAATTTTCCTGCTGGGCTTTCCAAATGTCCTCATGTGATTTGGGTTTTTTCAGAGGTGTCCCTCTCAGACCATAGCACAGCAGCATAAGGTAAGTGTTGACAGTCATTCACAGGAGCTCTTGACAGAGCATCCGGGACTGTATTGAAGGCGGAAATCTCATGCTCATCACTGTCCCTAAGACACAGTTACCCAAACTGTGTTTGTTTTGTGAGGTAATCCACAATCCAGGACGTGAAGCAGGGATCCACCCCCATCCCTTCCAGCTTGTCTTTAAGGATGGGGGGTTGGATGGTGTTAAATGTTCTTGAAAAATCAAAGCACATAATCCTCATGTAACTACCTGGCTCATTAAGAATGGGCCCCGTGGAGCATGTAAAGGGCAGCATCATCCACTCCAATATGTTCTTTGTAGGCGAGCTGTAGGGGGTGTAGTGCATGTTCAACCTGTGGCTTCAGAAGGTGGAGAAGCAGCTGCTCCAGGGTCTTCATGATGTGTGATGTGAAGGCCACTGGTCTGTAGTTATTTATCCCAGCTGGTCCTCCTACTTTAGGGACTGGAACAAGACAAGATGTTTTCCACAGGACTGGGACCCTCCCTGTTTGAAGGCTTAAGTTAAAGATCCTCTGGACAGGCTCAGCCAGCTGGGCTGCACAGTCCTTTAACAGCCTCGGACACACACCATCCGGGCCTGTTGCCTTTCCAGGATGTAGCCTCTTGAGCCTCTCCTCCCCTCTTCTGCTGTAAAGGACAGGAGACTTGACCCAGTGTGGAGGGAGCTGCAGCTGCAGTGTCAGGTTGTGGAGGAGATGCCGTAGGAGAAGCTGCAGCTGAAGCAGTGGGAGAGAGAACAGGTGAGGGTGTGTCACACCTTTTGTAGAACAGGTTGAACACATTGGCCTTGTCCACATCACCTGATGTTGCCTGGCTGTTCTTGTCCTTATATGGTCCTCATCCCCTTCCACACCTCTCTGGTGTTGTTGTGCTGCAGCTTCCTCTCTACTTTCTTTTTGTAGTCCTCCTTCTCCTGCTTTAATCTCCTCTTCAGCTCATGTTGCACACACCTGAGCTTCTCCCAGTCTCCATCCCTGAAGGCCTCCTTTTTCTGGTTGAGGAGGGATGCTGATGTTTGATTTATGTTACTGGTGATCCAGGGTTTGTTGTTTGGAAACCAGTGTACAGCCTTTGCTGGTATTACAGTGTCCATACAGAAGTTAATGTAGTCCGTGGTACATTCAACCATTCTATCAAGGTCAGGGTCCTTGCTGTCAAAACAGCCCTTTAGAGACTCACTGGCCTCTGGGTTCCAGTTCCTGAATGAGAGGGTGGTTGTACACATGGTTTGTAGGAAGGCTGAAGAAAAACCAGATCATGATCTGATCTGACATTTTTTCCAGAATCCTGTATTTTCCAGCCTCAGTGCTGTTAATCTTCCTTGGCTCAATGTACCTGGCTTTAGTCGAAGAACAGGAAAGAGGCGGGAACTTGGGTCTTGAGGAATCGTAGCATTTATTTACTGACTAACAGCCTAAAAAGTGCACAGGCTAACTGCTAACTGTTAACTAAATAGCTAAATCTGTGCACCGGTTGCCAGTGTCACCTCTCTCTCTCTCTCTCTACACACACAATATGTACCGATCTATTCCTGAAGGTAGCTGCTCTCCACCTGTGAAAATATTCTGTCTCTAATTTCTCAATCTTACAGCAGGTCTCACACAGAGATGATGAATCACAGTGTAATTTGCTCGTTTACTTGCTGCTCCTGACTCTTAACACTTAATGTGCAAGTTTAGTTTTACATACATCTGTGCATGCGTATAATGCTGCAATATCATAACTGATTCTGAACAGCAGAAGCTGAGTCAAGGACAGCTTGACAAGCACACCTTGGCAATGGCTACAAATGGCAAACAAAAAAAACTGCCAAACTGTCAGAAATTGACAAGAAGAGACAAAAAAATGACAGAGAGGACAGACTGATTTTCACAGTGATGCTTTTATTGTGAAAAGATTTTAAATCAACTTTTCAAATTTTTAACCTTCCATCTTTAAAGGACTGGAAGAGGAAAACTTTTACAAGGAATCATTTAGAAGAGTTTATTAAAACAAACTGATTTAATACATACAGAGACAGACATGTACAGAATGAACAGTTTCTTTAACAGGAGAGTGCCACCATCCCATATAAAGGGCAGGTGATGGTGTTGGGGCACTGGAAACCTTTTTAAGGGATGTTCCAAAAAGCAGGTCAGCAAAAATCTCAGTGACATTTATCAACAAAAAAATTACCAGACAGAGGAAAAATGAACCCCCAGGAAATGTGCAGCCTCACAGCGAGCTGCCACCTGCTCTCTCTGGACCACTGAATGGCATTTTACCTTCTCCTTCGCACCTAGCTGGAGCATACCATCAGCTTAGGTAAGTATGGGGGTGAGCTAAACAAACACTTGTCTTCCCAACCATACCAACCCCTACACAACTGCTACACACTGGATTTATATTACTCCCGACAATACTCAATCTACAATAAGCACAAAGAAATGATTTGAATGTGCACGAGGTTCATCCCACTGTCATCTACTATTTACTATCTAATGAACAGTTTTACCTCTCTTTCCCCATACTACAAATGTCCGGTCCCTCACTACTAAGAGGACCTAATGATGCACACCTGCATCCCCTCTACATGATTGCGCTGATCTACCCCACTAACCTAGACAGACAACTGAAAATAAACAAAGTGGGCTGACCAATCCAACATAACAAAGCTGCAAAGAAAGATAAACCCCTCTCACTATTAATGTATTGAATAATCAAAACCTGAAAAATTAATAGAAACATCTGAATAAAATACTGATGATATAACAGTGATGGTCACTAAACAGTGATAATGTGGGGGATCAGGGCCTAGTGAAGAGGGAAACAAAGCAGCTTTTTTTTTACAGAGACTCTCTGCTACACTGAACACAGAGACACTGAGGAACCAGGCTTTGACCAGAACCCAAACCCAGGATACAGAGGTTCAGTGAATGTGGTGTTGTAGGTGTGGAGGTGGATCAGTGAGTCAGAGGAGACTCTGTAGAAGGACAGAGTGCCAGCAGGACAGTCCACATACACTGCTACTCTGTCAGAGACAGAGGAGGAGGAGGGTATATTTATCACTTTGTTATTGTGACAGACATAATGACGACCATCAGAGCAGAACAGACTCCAGGACTGATCGTTCAGTCCAAACACACACTCTTTTATGTCACCTGTCCTGCTGATTCCTCTGTAACTCACTGATATATAAACATTCCCTCTCCACTCGACCTCCCAGTAACAGCGACCAGTCAGACCAGTTCCACACAGCAGCTGAGGCTGCTCTTCAAATCTGTCTGGATGATCGGGATACAGCTGTTCCTCCTCCACATGTGTCACTTTCCTGTTGTTGTCAGACAGCTTCACGTTTGTGTTCACTGTGTTTGTGTCGATTGCGAGTTCACAGGAATCTGATGGAGAGAAGAAGACACAGCTGCAGTTATCGATCTATCATCTGATTATTTACTGACTCATGACATCAGTGATCTGAATGAGTGATGTGACAGTTTGAAGATGGTTGAATGTGCCACTTTGTCCATGAATCAAATTAAAAACACACTTACACTTCCTCAGATCTGGTCTCAACCATTGGACTCCACCAGGCTCCGCCCTGAAAGGAGGAGGGGGGTCAGACCAGCACGTTCTCTTTCAGCATGCAGACATGGGCCCGTACTCACAAAGCATCTTAAGGCTCAAAGTAGCTCCTAACTTGCCGATTTAGGAGAAACTGCTAAAAATAATGGGTGTGTCAGTCCTAACTTTAGGACTCCTAAATTTTTTTGACTGAGAGTAATTCACAAATCCACTTAGTGCTTAAAGTAGCTCCTAAACCTGGAAGAGGTTAGAAGCAGTGGAGAGGCCTCCTAACTCACTAAGACCAAATCACAAAGGATTGTAAAATGGCTGCTGTCATTCCACGTCGCAGTGTTCTGGAAACCTTGCACAATGCTGAATTACTTAAAAGATACCACTCAATCACGAGGGAATAATGATTGTTGTGGAGTTTGTGAGGGATTAAATAACATCTGCTCAACATGCTCAACAACTACAGAGAAATGAAGTAGCTTCATGGTCGGTCTACCTGCTGAAAGAAAATCTTTTAGTTAAAAACTTTTAGTGTGACTTAGGAGTACTCTGGTAAGATAAATGCTTTGTGAATACAGGCCCTGGACATTATATGGCTCTCATATACGTTGTTTTATTACTCTGTTCAAATGGAGGCTTGTATGTATGGATGTACATTCACCACAGAGAAAAAGGAACTGGAGTCTTTTATACGGAGCAGGGAGGCGACATGGAGAAAATATTCCATCATGTGTTCTTCATGTGATATCAGTTCTGGTGTGAGACACACACTTTCAGTCTCTTGCTCTCACATTACATTAACAGCACCTTAATGTTGCTGTTTATTTCAGTATACATCACTTTACAATCGGTATAGAAAGCTGATGAGCTCACTATTTGGAGTTTAATGTCTCTAAGAAGTGTAAATGGTAATATTATTATTATTATTATTATTATTATTGTTGTTGTTGTTATTATTATTATTGTTATTATCTGTACTCTTTATTTGTCAAATTTCATTCCTTTACAGTAGTCATCTCTCAACAAGGGGAGCCAACAACTCCATGATCTCTACAACATATACCCCCTGACCCCCTAAAGAAAAAAAAGTAAAAAAGAAAAGTAAGATAAATTTATTAGTGTGTTATTATTAGATTGTAAACATTGAACAGGTCTCCACAGTCTCTGGGGTTGTTCTGGTGAAAACACTCACACTCAATGTGGCTCTGTTGGTTGAGGAACAGTTAAACCAGCTGCAGCTGAAATGTTTCCAAGCTGCTTTGTGCTGATACAGCCTGATAAATAAGGTAATTAAGTCTGATAAAAACATTTGTGGAGGCAATAAAGCTGAATTGAGACTGTGAGTGCTTTTCTCTTAAATATGACATAGTGAGTCATAATGAGACTCTGAAGTCATCATTAGGAGAAAACTCCTCTTTTGTTGTTGTTGAAGTCAAAACACTTCTATAGAAATCTGTCATTAGCTGTGACAGAGAAAAGGTTTTCAGCTCTTCCTCCTCTATCAGACAGTGTCTGTAGGTGCAGCAGGCCTCTCCATACCCGAGAGTGTCCAGTCCCTCATCTGGATCCTCCAGTCCAGCAGACAGCAGCTTCACCCCTGAGTCTCCTGGATGATTGTAGCTCAGGTCCAGCTCTCTCAGATGGGAGGGGTTGGAGCTCAGAGCTGAAGCCAGAGAAGCACAGCCTTCCTCTGTGACCAGACAACCTGAAAGACTGTTAACATGCAAAACAACACACAGGAACCCTCTGTCAACACTTGGTGGTCTGTTTTGTAGTTGTTTGATTATTTTCTTATTTTATGGTTCTGGTCCATTTTGGTGGAGGTACAATGGTTTTGACATAGATTTAGTACTATACTGTATATATCATCTGTTAAATAAAAAAAATTGATCATATAATGACGAATAAATCCAATTATCTATACACTTACAGAGCATTTTTAGAGGCTTTGATCACTGGCAGCAGCCTCAGAAGAGCCTCCTCTGAACCAGAGTATTTCTTCAGGTCCAGATCTTTTTCTGATGACAGTAAGATGAAGACCAGAGCTGACCATTGAGCAGGAGATAGTTTATCTGTGGAGAGACTTCCTGATCTCAAGGACTGTTGGATTTCCTCCACTAGAGAATGATCATTCAGTTCATTCAGACAGTGGAACAGGTTGATGCTTTTCTCTGCAGAGGTAGTGTCTTCAATCTTCCTCTTGATGTACTGGACTGTTTCCTGATTGGTCTGTGAGTAACTTCCTGTCTTTGTCATTAGGCCTTGTAGGAGAGTCTGATTGGTTTGCAGTGAAAGACCCAGGAGGAAGCAGAGGAACAAGTCCAGGTGTCCATTTGGACTCTGTAAGGCCTTGTTCACAGCACTCTGGTAGAAATGTGTTAATTCGGGTTTGTATCTAAATAGTTTAGACCACCAGTAGGTCCACGTTGACTGTTCTTCTGAGAGTAGATTGACTCCAGAATTGAAGAAGGTCAGATGGACATGAAGAGCAGCCAGAAACTCCTGAACACTCAGGTGGACGAAGCAGAACACCTTGTCCTGGTACAGCCCTCTCTCCTCTTTAAAGATCTGTGTGAACACTCCTGAGTACACTGAGGCTGCTCTGATATCGATGCCACACTCTGTCAGGTCTGATTCATAGAAGATCAGGTTTCCCTTCTGCAACTGCTCAAAAGCCAGTTTTCCCATAGACTCAATCATCTTCCTGCTCTCTGGACTCCAGTGTGGATCTGTCTCAGCTCCTCCATCATACTTGACATTCTTCAGTTTGGTCTGAACCACCAGGAAGTGGATGTACAGCTCAGTCAGAGTCTTGGGCAGCTCTTCTCCCTCTCTGGTTTTCAACACATCCTCCAGAACTGTAGCAGTGATCCAGCAGAAGACTGGGATGTGGCACATGATGTGGAGGCTTCGTGATGTCTTGATGTGGGAGATGATCCGACTGGCCTGCTCCTCATCTCTGAACCTCTTCCTGAAGTAGTCCTCCTTCTGTGGGTCAGTGAACCCCCTGACCTCTGTCACCATGTCAACACACTCAGGAGGGATCTGATTGGCTGCTGCAGGTTGTGTGGTTATCCAGAGGCGGGCAGAGGGAAGCAGTTTCCCCCTGATGAGGTTTGTCAGCAGCACGTCCACTGAGGTGGACTCTGTAACATCAGTCAGGATCTCAGTGTTGTGGAAGTCCAGAGGAGGTCGACACTCATCCAGACCGTCAAAGATGAACACAACCTGGAACTGATCAAACCTGCAGATTCCTGCTTCTTTGGTTTCAGTAAAGAAGTGATGAACAAGTTCCACCAAGCTGAACTTTTTCTCTTTCAGCACATTCAGCTCTCTGAAGGTGAGTGGGAATGTGAACTGTATGTCCTGGTTGGCTTTGTCTTCAGCCCAGTCCAGAGTGAACTTCTGTGTTAAGACTGTTTTCCCAATGCCGGCCACTCCCTTTGTCATCACTGTTCTGATTGGTTCATCTCTTCCAGGTGAGGCTTTAAAGATGTCTTCTTGTCTGATGGTTGTTTCTGGTCTGTCTGGTTTCCTGGATGTTGTTTCAATCTGTCTGACCTCATGTTCATTGTTGACCTCTCCAGTCCCTCCCTCTGTGATGTAGAGCTCTGTGTAGATCTGATTCAGAGGGGTTGGGTTTCCTGCTTTAGAAATCCCCTCAAACACACACTGGAACTTCTTCTTCAGCTTAGCTTTGAGTTTAATTTGACAAACTGCAGCAATATGTCCTGAATGAAAATAAGAAAAATATCTGTGACTGAATGATAAAGAAAATATGACATTTGAATTCCCCTAAAGATGCATGCAAGATAATGCATATATGAACATATTTCCCCTCATGTGTGTAGAGTTAATAAATGTCTTATTTTTCCATCATGTTAAACCTTTAGAGAAATCCTCTTACTGCTCTGCAGACAGTCAGCCAGCTCCTCCTGCTTCATTCCCCTCAGGAAGTCCAGTGTGATCTTCAGAAATGCCTCTCTGCTGCTCCTCTTCTGCTCCTCATCCTCACTGTCCAACATCTCTTCATCCTCCATCTGACTTGCTAAGCATTCTGGGTAATCTGCAATCAGAAGCTTCTGGATCTTCTTCAGCTCATTCTTCACAAAAGTGACAATGTTCTCCTCCAGCAGCTGGAACAGAAAATTATGTTAATGACACAATCAAACTAAAACCATGGAGCCAAACATCAGATCCATGTTGGACAGACTGACAATCCACTGGTCTAAAAGTGCAGCATGGAGATTATTTTGAACAGAACAGATGAAAAGTCGTTGTTGTACATGTACAGACCATAAATATGGAGTCCAGGTCTGGTTGATGCTGCTGGGCAGACTGACCACGGGGAACCTCTGAGCTCTCCTGGTCCACTCTGTGGGTGAACCATGAAGAATGAGTTTACATTATGTCTGTCCACACAGAGAGGGACACAAACTAAAGGTCCACGAAGTCACAAAATGGGCACTGGATTGTAAAATGACAACTGTGTCGGGCTTAACCCTCCTGTTATGTTGCGAGTCAAATTGACCCATTTTAAAATTAAAAAATCTAAAAAGAAATAGTTAAAAGTATTTTTTGTGTATGAAATGTCTTCTGCTTGGCTTAATAAGTGTAATCAACATGTAAAATTAAAATGGTTCATTTCGAATATTTGCAACCCCCCCTGCCCGCATGTTTATATTACATAGATACTGTTCGGGTCAATTTGACCCGGCAGTCAAAGTGGAGGCTAAAAGGGGTCAAAAGTGTCAAATACTATTTGTTTCTTTGCAACTGTGAGACATATTTCACCCCAATCTCACACACACACACACACACACACACACACACACACACACACACATACACACACAGTCTTGTTTCCGTCCACTTCCCTGTTTCCTGTTCAAACTGTAGTTTCAGTTCCTATGACTTTTGTGGCGCAGCCTCATTTCACGATTTAGAGGTAAGTTAAGCTACATTTTCCAGTCTCTTCCTCTTGAACGACTCTTTGCTCATGTTGTTAGTGCTGACTGCTGTCATGGTCCACTAGAAACAGCAGAAATCTGCTGCTTGGATGTTAGAATGACACAAGACTCTGATTAACAGAGGGTTTACAGTTGACTCCAAGTGTCAGGAGTAGGTTTGTCATGTCATATGACTGACCAGTGAGGACTCCAGCACTCATGTGATTGCAAGCTGACAGAGCAGGGGGGAGTATAGCTAAAACTAGCTGACTGAATACACACACCCTCTTCCTATTTTCTTGACCTCATCTGTAAAGTGCGAGAATGCAGGTGTAGTTTTGACTTTTGACGGGAACCTTTTCTGTTCCCGTGGGCAAACTCCACCCACATTGAGTGGAAACTCAGCAGGGGAGGGGCAAAACATATAAAGATTCTCTGCAAGGGAGTCCTACCAACATTACACTCTGCAGCTACATATGATATACTCTCTGTCAGAGCTTTACAAAATGAGCAGCAGAAGTAAACAGGTGACAACCCTGGAGGCTCTGGAACTCATCTTTGATCATGACAGTGAAATAGAGGAGGATGTGTCTGAAGATGAAGACCATCTTGAGGTCAATTCTGAGTCTGATCATTCTGATTATGAACCAAATGAGGAAACTGCTATTCATATTCCTCCAAGCAAGACATTCACATCAAAAAATGGTGAAATACAGTGGTCTTCATCCCCAAATATACTTCAGGCAAAACTGTCTGCAGAAAACACAATAAAGACAGTGCCAGGGCCCACTAGGATGGCAGTGACTCATGGGACAGACATCAAGTCAGCTTTTGAGCTCGTCATGCCCAACTCAATACAGAAAATCATTCTCGAAATGGCTAATCTAGAAGGAAGCGGTGTTTTAGGGGAGAAGTGGAAGGAGCAGGATAAAATGCATTTACATGCATATCTGGGGGTCCTCATCCTGGCTGGGGTCTATAAGTCAAAGGATGAATTAACAGCCCGTCTGTGGGATGCAGAGACAGGCAGGGTTATATTTCGTGCCACAATGTCTCTGGAGACTTTTCATATTTTCTCCAGAGTAATCCGATTGGATAATCGAGAGACAAGGGCTGTCAGATGGGAGAGAGACAAGAGACAAGCTGGCAGCTATCAGGACAGTGTAGGACAAGTGGGTAGAGCAACTTTCACTATTCTATAACCCAGGCCCTAATGTCACACTGGATGAACAGAAGAGGTGTCTCGTGTTAATTTATCAACATCACTCCATAAAAAAATTTCAAAATGTAAAATAAAATTTGAAAAAAATTAATGTCATGTAAAAGTCTTGTATTTTATATGTAGGTCTTTCCAAAGTACATTAAAAAAAGTTAACATGCATTTTTTAATGAAAAACGAGTGAATTATCCTCATTGAATCATGATCCGTGAGAGGTAAAGAAAACCATTACACTAAATATTGATTGAAATTGTTAGTAATGGAGTTAATAATGAGATATAAACAATGTTTATTGGGATTTTTTGGTTTCTGACACTTCTGGATAATTAAACATGCCCCGGGTCAAATTGACCCAGGAACAGGAATTGCTGTTCCTGAGAAACGAACATAACAGGAGGGTTAAACTAGCAGACACTTGCGTTGTGCTTTGTCCCAGGTGTAAGATAGGGCCCTATGATTTCAGACGTGGTCAAACAACATGTCGTACAAACTTTTCTTAGTCTTAGTCTTAATGTCAATTAGAGCTTATATCTCATCAGCTGATGGACATTGCCCTTTGAAGTCAATGATTGAGTGATAAGTGACGAGTGATCTGAGTGCTGAGCTCCGATATGGAGAAGAGTCATGGACAGTTAGAGAACCTCATCTTACCTCTGAGCTCTGGACTGGCTCTCATGTTCCCCACACAGAGGAGTTTTAGAGGGAGGGGCTCCCTCCTCTCTGTCCTCACACTGATCCATGCTGCTGAGTTCACAACAGCTCACACACACTTTCTACCTTCACATGGAGATAAACACAAATCATTCATCTGCACAGCAGCTGAAATTTACACCATTTCTCCTGTAAAAATATCAGCTACTCCTCCACTGATTCTTCTTCTCTGTTTCATATCAGTATGAGCTGAATGCAGTCAGACAGCAGTGTGAGGCAGAGGAAGCTGCCATCAGTTGCTGTACTTCTACCATCAGTCCACTAGATGGCGACATGAAGCTGCAGTGAAATAAAGAGAAGCCCAGCACACACATGATGCATGCATGACCATTTACACCCACTGATTCAGTTTCTCTACCCCACCATGAAACAACATGTATATACATAATACTTACCCTGCAGCAGTGGTTCTGAAACAGATCATGGAGGAGCTTAAGATATCTAGACTTTAAAGCCCTTAGATACAGAAAACTGTCATCCTGCTCAGTCTTCAGACATAAAACATATGTTGATATGACTCAGTGTGACTTGAACTTCCTAATGTCCTTGTCTGATAGTCATCAATATGAGACTACTGTTAGCCTGCCACTGGCTTTGAACTGTTGGATGACACACGTTTTTGAAAATTTCAAGATGATGTGCTCAAAAGCTCACAGCAGTAAGTCAGAAGGCAACAGAAGTTCATATTCCCCTGCAGCATTGACAAGTTGGATGTTGAATAGTAGCATCCACTTCTGTCAGCAGAATTGCAGTTAATGTTTTTCATTTTGAACTTGATTTTGTTCTGAAAATTGTAAATAGGCCCTTTTGAAGAAAATTGCCCTTTGAAGTTGTAAACTTTATTTATTCGGTATTAAATTTATCTTGCTCTGATGAAGCAATTTTACTTCAGCATAATCAATGATACAGTTTACCTGCATGTAGCTCAACTTATCTTCTCCAAGGACTCAACTTAGCTCCCATGGGGGGGGGGGGTTGAGTCAAGAGATTCCTATTTTTGGTAAGTTACATTTTGAAATCTGATTATTTTACATCCAAAGTGATTATTACCAAGGATGTATGTTTCTTATATTCCTGGAACAAAGACATTCTCCTTTGGACATTCCTGTACATATACTTCCCCCATGATCACGACCTGTCCACATAAAGACAAAAAACTGTTTTCAAAAATGGGACTTTGAAAGCCCGTGGTCTGAGGGAAACAGACTGAAGTCACTAAAAACAAAGCGAATGTATCAAACAGAACAAACTTACACTTGATTCAAACAGTCCAAAGAGCTGAAGAAGACGACTCTCCACTTGATGCCTGTAGAGAACGGACTGTGACACATTGAGCTGTTTCCTGGAATGAGTTAGGGCTCCTGTAACCTGTAATGAAAGCAGGCCAGGTAGGAAGAGCAACACATTTTCTTCTACTCTATGGTTGTTTACAATTTTGACAGAACTGGGCGTGTCACTGTCCTTGGATGGAGAAGCAATTAAATAATTGAATTGACATTTTATTAGACTCTGCTCTTTCACTTTCCTCCACCACAGCAAGGAACCCAGCAAAACCTTATTCACAACCCGTCCTTACACCTCTAAATAAAACAGACATGATCTCAGGGTCTTACATCCACATGAATCAATGTTTGTATTGAAGACATGTCTGTTGATATCAGTGTGGTTAATAACAGTCATTAGTATAGTGCTGATAATGGAGTCTGAAAATGTTTCTGCTGATCTGACAGATAGAAACATACTAACACAACCTTATAGAAGGTCTGTTTAAGAACCAATGTGATGACTTGAAAACAAAACTAAACCCATCAGGAGAACAAGGCGCTGTAAACTGTGTAGTGTGTTACTGAAGAAAACATGAGGATTCTGAATGAAGTTCAGCAGCCTTTTCTCTGTTTTCTCTTGTTTGTGTGTGTGTGTGTGTGTGTGTGTTTATCTGGTTAGACTGAGTCTTAGTCAGACTTAAGTTCACATGATGATGTGTTATTGAGACATGAAACCTCCTTATGACTCCCAGTGTGAAAAGAAACACTCTGAGGGGCGTCGTGCGGCATAGTGGTCTAAGCAGGCGCCCCATGTGTAGAGACTACAGTCCTCGCTGCAGTTGGCCCCGATTCGAGTCCTGCATCGGACGGCCTTTGCTGCATGTCATTCCCCCTCTCTCTCTGCCTCCCCATTTCCTGTCTCTCTACTGCACTATCAAATAAAGGCATAAAAAGCCCAAAAAAAAGAAACACTCTGCTGCTGTTTGAATGTTTATTATTACTGACGATTGATCAGTTGAGTATCTTGCTTAACTAAAGCTGTCAAATAAATGTAGTGGAATAGAAAGTACAATATTTCCCTCAAACTGTAGGAGTGTAAGTAAAGTAAATAAAGTAGCATAAAATGGAAATACTCAAAGTACAAGTACCTCAAAACTGTACTTAAGTACAGGACTTAGAGTAAATGTATTTAATTACTTTCCACCACCGCTAAACCATAACTTAAGGTTAAAGATAAAAACTGACAAACATTACCATTCATCTGTAGATTCTTGACACAATCTAATTCAGAAACTCTGATGGTAAGTAAAGAATATTACTGAAGCTAGTTAGCTACTGCTACTTACATTTACCAACAGTGTCTTTGCGACATACAGAAGCAGAGACATGAGGACGGAGCCACTGATGGAGATGGCAGGCAGAGGAGATGTTCAACTAACATCAAGGTTAAGAAATGGTACGGTCCACTTTAGGGGTGTTTGAAATTGTAGTACAAGATTCTTCCAGGCATGAATATGGTAAATATATTGTAAAATTTACAATTACAGGTAAGAAGGATTTATAAATGTTTCAAACCCCAACCACATGTTGTTTTCACCTCCTCTGGGGGGAGTTGGGTGTAAGTCAGACCCTCCCAATAACACCCGTAAATCGAACCGTGACTGTCCTCTGCAGGAGAAACAATTAAATAGGTTACTTGGATCACAGTCCATTTTCTTGGATATAGACCCATGTTGTGCAGGAACTGAACAACTGTTTTAAACAGTTGGTGTGTCTCAGTTTGGCTAAAGAAAGATTTGACTGAAAACACGTCATCGTTCTATCTGACACAAGGTCACCAGATTTCTGAAATGAAAACCGGGGACATTTTCAGTTCAGCGGTCAGTATATCATTAAAATTTTAAATTAAGAAACTTTTCTCTTCTCAACAGCGTTTGATTGTGTGTGTGTGTGTGTGTGTGTGTGTGTGTGTGCTTGTCTACTCTGTGCTTTGTATTGTTTGTTATTGTTTTGTTGTATGCTGTAAAACGCATTGTGTCTGCCTTGTGCATGAAATGCGCTCTATAAATAAAGTTTGAATTGAAGTTTGAATTAAAATATCCAATGTTTTCATCTATGAAATAAAAAAGTGTACAGTTCTGGTTTCATGTACTTTGACCATGTTTTACTGTAATAAACTATGGTGAAAGTAAACTGATAAAAGTTGGTCACTCTTTGTACTCTTAACAGTTAAAGATTGACTTGTGACTGATAAGACTCAACTGTTTATTCTCTGCCAGTCTTTCTCCTCTTCTTTTCTTTTTACTTGTCTTCCTTCTCTTTACCTTCTCACCTAATTCTTCACTCTCCTGGCTTCACTGTTTGACTCCCTTAATTTTTCCTCCTCATTCTCTTCTCCTTCCTGTCCAGTCTTCAATAATAAATAGTACACCATTAGATAAAATACTTGGGTTAACAGATTCCCATTGCTTTCCTAATTTTTGCTTTTTATTGTTTAGGCCCTGTAATCACTTCTTTACCTTTCCTCCCCCGTCTCCATCACTCTCTTCCTTTCCAATCTTCCTCCTCTCCTTCCTCTTCACTCTCCCTACAGGGGTTAAGAAGAAAAACTCCTCTGACTGGATTTTTTTTGAGGCAAAGTCATATTCAATCTACAGTTTGTAAGACAAGTTACAGAGGCAATCCATAATAGCCCTCACACCTGCTAAGGAAATAGCATGTTAAATATGTTAACTTAAAAATTATGCACTATAATTGTAGATCGTATGGCCAGACCCTGGGTTACCTCCTGGCTTGAAAATATTTTTGTGCTCATGTTGTGGATTCACTTAACACTTACTAGTTACTGGTCGAGTTTTAAACAAGGCAAACAAGTGGTTAGTAGTAGAAGCGGAGCGATGAAGCTGCTCTATGTTGGCCAAAACAAACACAACTATTTGCTAAAGTTCTGCAGCCATTCTGCAGCTGTGTGTGTGTGTGTGTGTGTGTGTGTGTGTGTGTGTCTGTGTGTGTGTGTGTGTGTGTGTGTGTGTGTGTGTGTGAGTGTGTTTGTGCGTTTGTGTCATCTCTTCACTATGATGATGATGTAGAGCCCTCTGGTGGTGAAAAGATAAACTGCATGGTGTCAGTTTAATGAACACAGATGACATCAAGTGGAAATGAGAAAGACTTAAATCTTGTTAGAGTTGTACTAATGACTGCTGTTAACCGCACTGATACCAACAGTGATGTCTTCAATACAAACACTCATGCTTCATATTAATGTGGATGGAACTGAACTGTTAAAGTGACAGAGACTCTCAGAGAAACTATGATGATCACTGCCCTCCAGTGGTCACTGTCAGTAACTACAACTCTCTGCATACAGCGCTGACAATAATACTGATATTCACACTGACATTATTACACATTTACTGCATTATATTAGCTCTAAAGTTTATCAGTCTATAATAACGCTCTATATGTGAACACAGATATTATTAAACTGCTATGAATACTATTTTTTGTAAACTGACTGAGAGAGAATAATCAGTACTTACTGTCCCCCAATGTTCATCCTGAGTAACTACAACACTTGATTACACTGATATGTGTCCATTTGTGTCTCTCACCCAAATCAAATAATAAATTCAGGTGTTATTTCCGATTGCTTTAGTGATCACTCAATTATTTACTGTGTGTGGAAAATCAAAATACCTAA